CTCAGAAACTTTGATCCCCTGTTGTGGTCCCACCCTACCCGCGGGGATAAAGATTTGAACAAACTTGAATTTATTTTATGTAATAAAACTTTCACATAAGTTTCAATTTTTCTGGACCGGTGGTTTTTGAGAAGAATTTTGAAAGATGCCATTGAATTTCAATAATTCTTAAGTATCTCATCTTGAAAGAGGGCTTGGCCCTTCATTTAAACAACTTGAATCCCCAAGCCTTCGCCCAAAGATACCTTATAGTAAGTTTGGTTAAAATTGGCCAAGTGGATCTGGAGAAGAAGATGAAATGCGAAAATTTAACGACGAATTTTGATCAGAAAACACACCTGAGCCGAAGGCTCAGGTAGTTATGTATGTCAATGACAGTTATTTTTCTTATCAGAGGGTCGATGAAGCTTAAGAATAGAACAATGTATGATTTTTTTCTTCAAAATTTGGACATTAATACTTTATCTGTTTTAAGTACAAAAATGCTCAAACGATTCTGGTCCACATTTAAACACTATTATCTCGTTGGATACCGTAATCGTGATTATTTTTAGTCTGTCATTACATTAAAATATTGTTTATCACTTCTCATTATCTTCACATTTTCACTCAATACAATCAAGTTATTCAGTTATTTTTTTTTAATGAGTAATATAGAAAATATGCAAAGCTTTTTTTAAATATCACTCATTTTAAATTGCAAAAATGATCATTAGTTGACATTAATAGTATTTTTTTTTTCAAAAAAATCTACTAAGCACGTAAAAGGAAGTCATGCTTTTATAGTACATAGAAATGTATATTCTTGGGTGGAGCGGAATTCCAGCAGGTGGAAGTTTAGAACACGGATATTCTCGATTACTTTTGACTTTATTTCACAGCTCGAACATAGGAAATGAGTTCTTTACATGGTGTCTCAAACTTTCTTTGAATTTTTAAAAACCATAATGATTTTGGGGAAAAAAAAGAGTTTGAACTGAGAAAAAATAAAGATAATGTACTTTGTTCTACGAAAAGCAAAACAATGCTGTAAAAGGCTCAACTAGTTAGCATCAGGTCAAGACAATGTAAGCCCTTCTGTGTATCTGCACGTCTTTTGACTTTTTTTCATCAATGTACGCAACATCATCAAAATATCAGAGAAAACACTAGAAAAAAGTAAAGAAGATTTATTTTTTCGTCTTGTATTTTGATAAATATAATTTTTCAGCTTAGCAATCGAGATGTAGTTATAATCACGTTTAAAAAGTTTAATTTAAACTTTAGTTTAAATAGTTGTTTAAAACAGATTACGTATATTCTTTTAGCAAGCTTGCATCTCATTGAAGAAATAAGAAAAATGAAGATAGCATTTTCACTGGAATGCTCGTCCATGCATTTTTTCCATGCATGATTTTGACAAGGCGGATTACAAATGCTCAGATGTTCTGATCCTAACAAAAAAAAAAAAAAAACTATAGTTAACTATAGTTTACTTTAGTACATTCTTTAAAATTATGTTACTTGACTTTGATTTATTGTCTTAAACTGATTCCTTTGAAATTGTACTTTGATTTGAAACTTTACTCTAGAATTTTTTTCTGGGATTAGAAGAATTAAAAGTTTTCAAATTCCTCATAATGGTACCTTTGGGAATAATTTTTTGAATATTAGTATTTAAGCAATCATTTCCTTTAAAATAGGAAAACAATCTCCATTGTAAATTTAAATTAATGAAATTGAGCATTTTGAATTTCATACCAAAATTAAGTTGTTTTTCTTTATAATCTTATTTCTACTATTAAAAACTTTGATTTACATTATTTTAAAATAAAACTTCGATACTTTGATTTTTTTCAAAAAAAAAATCCTTATTTTGATTAACCATCGTAAACTATAACATGTTAAAGTATTTTTTATATATTGTCAGGGGTAGAAAAAAAATTGCAGCTGAAAATTATATGTCTACTTTATGGTTCCAAATAACATTCCAAATAATATTCCAAAGGTCAAAATGTCCGCAAGCCATAACTTCTTGTGCGTAATTTGTCGACATTATCTTTTGTATGGTTTAAATGGCCTAATTGAAGTAAATTCTGTCCGCATTTATTTTTTACTGAAAATGACAGAAATTTGTGATTCTAAAGATATACAAAGAATATCGATAAATGTTTGTATTTCTGATAGCAAGCTGGCTACATGTATTATAAAAAAAATAACGCGTGTTATAATGTTAGGATGTCTGTATCTTAATGGAAGTAAAAATAAAATTTCGAGAATACAAAGGTATGTTGTTTTTTATGCAACAAAGCTTCATATAATTTTGATATCTCTAAACGTTATCAAACTGAAAATATTTTCTTTTTACCTACATTGTATTTTAAATTGAGATTTGTTTGGATTTTAGAATACGTCGATGAAACTTTTTATTCCAGATTGAGTCACTGAGTCGTATCCATTTAAAAACCAGCGTGATAATTCTTTGAACCAACATCAGTGCTGCTTTGATAGATTATTTGTTATTCTGATATACCTGCACATTTAACAACTGTTCATATCCACATATTCATTGAAAGAAGAGACCAATTGAAGCTTCCAAAGCAATTAAGGATGGCGTTTACTCAGATGATAAAAAATCACTGGTAGGAATAAATCAACACTTAATGTACATTATATACCTATGATTGTACTTAAATTATTCAATTTCAAATAAATAGGTCAATGACCTACTCTTTATGTTAGTGGTCCCTGGGTATTTCTGGGAAACTACTTAATTTTTACCCTATGACCAATATTTCATTATTTTAAAACTAAATATAACAAGAAAAAGAAAACCCTTTGGATAATGAAAATGAAATAGCGTTGTTAAATGTAAAGTAAATAATTAGAATTTGAACAAAAAAATATGTTAATTATTCCAGTCCGAATTTCCTATGATATTTTCATAATTTAACCCACTTTTAATTTAATGTTACAAAAAATTGATTGATTGGAATGAAATATGAAGATGACGAAGTTATACAGCTCAAACGTTTACTGAAACAATACATATTGGGAGCACTGCAAACACAGACCTCTAAAAACATCAAAGGTGGGATCAAGTGCCATGGAGGATTAAGCACTCTTTGTCATCTTAAGGCAAACGGAAAAATCCGTAGACAATTCAGTGTGAAAATAATGGTCTAATAATGATTGTATGTTGTTTCACGTCCCACTTAAGCATTTTTCACTCATATAGGCACGTCACCATACGGTATATACCAGTGAAGAGCTTCAAATTTAGACTATACTCGGCACTCGGGGCCATTGACCAGTGAGGGCCAACGCCCACCGTGAAACGGGACCTCGGTTGTGAGGTCTCATCTGTAGACCCGTGACTTTCACTTCTAATGCCCGACGTTTGGCGAAGGAACAGTTATTACCTATGTTTTACATCGTTCGTTTGGCTCATTTAAACATGACATACTCTTGCATATCGAATCAACTCGGAGACATAAACTCCATGTGCATTCTAAACTTTTTATACCTTTAGTTTACTAATAGTGCCCTTATTCTACTGGTTTTAATATCTATATGAGATCAATAAACAATTTATTGAGATATATATTTTATATATTTTTACATGGCCACTCATTGAATCATTTAATAGTAGAAGCCTTATCGCATGTATTATTTGCAAAATGATATTTTAAAATAAAACACGTATAGATACTTAAAATTCAGAATAATTTAATATTAAGAAAAACATTATTGTAAAAAATGAGAGTTTAAATTTGTCTGAATTTTCTCTGCATCACTGTTAATCTACCTTTTTCTTCAAATGGATAAAAAATAAATAAAATTTGATATAGGTTTATTACATGACTAGTTTGCCCATTTAGAACAATTTTTGAATTAAGATATTGTACTTTATAGCAATTTAATTCCGTCAACTAAAATCCAGAGTAAAAGTCATTCTTAAGATTTTATTGCACTTAATTAAACTAAAAGTGAAACAACATTAAACTTTCAGGTGTCAATTAACGTGGTTTTGTGTAAAATTCAGTATTGGGGGGGGGGGGTAAATAATATGTTTTTATTAATTTAGTAGTAGTAGATGGATAACTTTTTTCCACCAAAGTTATCGTCCATGATAATAAGAATTTGATTTCTTTTAAATTGTACTGAAAATTTTGGTTGTAAAACTATGAATGGAGTGTTGATTTCTTTTATAATTGGACATTTTGCCACAAGCAATAAACAATCCACTGGGTCTAATATGCTACAACTCCAGACACTTAAAAACACAGTTACATCGTCATTATCTGTTTTGTAAATATTTTCCATTGAAAGGCCTTTGCCAAGAGGTAAAGCTAGCGTTAAGAATTAAGATCTACTTTACAAAACACCTGCTTTAAAGAAGATGAAATAACTGGTATTTTTCATGAGAAGGGCATCAAACTTTCCTTGATAAATCCATATGCTTTGTTAATTTACCTAATATATTTCTTACCTTGCATTGATCTGAAAAATTACAATGAAAATAACGATGAATATTCAGTCGACATGCAAGAGTAGGTATAAAATATTAGCGTCGAATGTGTATTAACTAATGTATGATTTTTTCTCTTTTTACAATACATGTGTTAAGAAATAGAAATATTAATTAAATATATTAAGCTATTTTAATAATAGTCTTATACTTAATAAATATCTGTGAAATATTAAGGTCATCCATTTTGATCCCTCTATGATAGATCATGAAGCCCTTTATATAACAGAGTACGCATAGGTGATTATACCAGGTAGAGAACATCTAATATAAATTAAGGTCCTAGAATTGCAAGCTTTAACAATTTTATGTGTAATTATTGCTAAATTTAACTGCCCAATATTTAAGAAAATACATATAAGTACATGAATACGAAATATCCAATTATCCTATTCAATACACACACTTGTTTATACTCGTTAGCAAAAATAAAGGTTGACCCGGTCAACTGAATCAAAACCTAAAACGCAGTAGGCTACACAAGGAGGGTTTTATTAATTAGGAATTCACACGAACTGGGTGGCTATTCAATACGGAGAAAGTTTCGAAATTCCTCCTTTTCTCCTTTTGACCAAGTAAAGATTTCGTGATTGTGATGACGACGCGGCCCAATAGACGGTTCCGGTCGACTGAGCACGTTTGTAAATCGTAGCCGTGAAGTGACACCTCAGAATTCAGTTTTCGAATTCGTTCATGATTTTAATATTTCCTACATCAGAATAAGATCAAGGAATGGCGCATATGGCGACTTCAGTTCTTTAAGGTAAGAACAGTCGGAATGGTTATAGTAACAAAATCATAATGTATATTTTGATAATTATCTTCGTTGTATGGGGATTTATAATTTAATAACCTGGAGTAAGACGATTAACCAAGAACTGCAGAATAAATTTTAAAAGATAAACTTTTCAAAACTGGTTTCATTAGCATTTTAAAACAAAAAATACATCGTCTGGCGACAATATTTTTGAAAAAAGTTACCTTGGCGTGTTAGGAAAAAAAGTCACCTCCACATAGGATAAATAATGAGAAATAAGTTTGGCAGGGAAACATTTGAACAAGGTGTGAATGTATCAGGTTTCTTATAGAAGGTTATTTATTTATCAAACAGTCAAAGGATTCTAGTCCATTTCCTTTAATCATACCTTAATGATGTGGGCGGTGAATCGAGCGACTTTTCGAAGGTCTCGGTCATCAGGGCAGTACATTGACATACTATGTAAAAATAAGCCTGAAAATTAAAAAAAAAAATGAATTTTCTCAAAACAACACGTTGCTTTGTTTGTTTTTTTTTATTATTCACTGGGATATTTTTTCAATTAAATGAAATTGGTTCTTTTGTTTTTAATTAAATAGTGATGATATTCGTCTAATGTAAACTAACTTATACAGGTTGATTGCCTTAAAGAAATGACATCGGGGGAACGCGATCAGTCTTAAACTGATATTATCTAAAGATTAAAATAAGATGTTACATTATTTAAATATCCATCGACTTTAAAAAGAAAATCTTTATTATTTGTAAAATTTAATTGTTTTAACCGAATTTAAAGTGGACGATGGCCACGCCAAAGATAAGAAATCTACCTATCTGATAAGAAAATGGCTCCTATATAGGGATAGCCGGCATTTCTGCCGTGTTAGGTGAAGCTGTTGTCTAGAAACAGGGGTGACATTACTGTTAATGTATTTGATACATCCCCACCAAAAAATCTGATGCGGAATCAAGTGACATAGGAAAATAAATTACGTACAGGTGCCCGAATCAAACGTCACAACCACATAGAAAGGTAAGCCTAGTCCGATGTGTTCCTAGTGTTTTAACTAAATAAGGGAAACTAAAGGTGTTTTTTTTTCTGGTCGTTTAGAAATTTTGTGTGTGTGTGCGTGATTCAGAATTGTGGGTTTTTGTTGGCTTATCAAGTTTATCTCTCAAAAATTCGATGTGCATATGTTGTAGGTACATGTATCACAATGAAGCTATATTAATTTTCATCGCCTTTTCATTTATGGTCGGTACAGACCAGTCTGTAATATTTGTGGTTTTTAACTTGCTTGTTCAATTCGTTGAATCCTTTAGTAGCATAGGAAATAGCAAGATTTGCCTAGAAGATATCTTTGCAACGTTAAAGAGGAAGAAATTTAAACAGAATATTTTTTAGGAACATTTCTCACATCATCTCGCATTTTGTCGTCTCAATTTCTTTGACAGTGAAACAATTCTTCCCTCTATAAAGAATCAAGTTTAAATACTTGCTGTATTTAAATGCAGTAACCTGTCATAAGTCATTCGTTCTAAACCTCAAAAAGTAAGCATGTTAAACTAGAAGTGCGTTAAAATATGAAAGTGTGTATGCTCTACTTGGAATTCTTGTAAGTCTTTATTAGTCTTTATATTTTGAATGTCACAGTTATCTCTAAAGACTCTTAACTATAGGATCACGCAGTGATCTCTTCACTTTGTAACCAATTGAAGTAAAACAATGATGCATTATACGGCTCATTTACAAAATTTCTACATTGTTTTGTTTTGTTTTTGACATCACGTGACGTTCCGCGTACACCAACTCAGCGAGGTTGTCAGGTAAAAGACCTTAGGACTTTACATTTTGCATGTATGACGAGTGCTGACAATAGCAGTCGCTTAATTAATAATTGTTTAAATGCAACATTTGTTACGTCAACATATGTAACACATATGACACAACATATTATTTGTACTTTTAATTTTTTTTTCACCTGTTCCCAATGAGTGTTAAAAATGCTATAAAATATGAATGGCTTAAAGTTGTCACCTTGAAAAGTACTTACAAGAAACAATTTTTGTCTGGAAGATATTGTCTTATAAATCAAACCCGGTTGTTTTATATGACGATTGAGTCATTAATTGACTGTTTTACACTATTATCATTGTAGGGCGAGTAACGATAAGACACAGATGACTTATGGGAGGACAGTGATGTTTATCTAAGGATTATTTTAGCGGTCCCTCCTATTCCAACACATCAACGAACAGCGAGGATTGAACCACAGCATAAACACAAATAAAACCACGAAATACCAAAAATAATCACCATTGGATGGAAATCAATGTTAACAAGTGATTTATATGAGATAATGATTTTGAAATGAAAAAAAAATATTCGAAGAAAAAGTAGTATATTGATGTAGTACAACTGGATTAATAACTACTGTTTGTCGTAAAGTATTATAAGTGATACTCCAAAAACAAAATACTCACATTCTCCAGCGATGAACCACCTGGTGACCCTTTGTGTTCTTTGGATGACGATGTTGTGGAATCCTCCCGTTCAGGGAGGAATCTCGAGCTCCCTGACAAATACAGTGTGCCAGAGAAGGGACAGTGGGTGCACGTGTACAACAGACATCTCGGGGGGCTTGTCTGTAACATGTACATCGCGGGGATATTTAGAATTTCCTCTAGATTTACCCTCACAAGCTTCGACAATGTAAGTACATTTATGTTTGGTAATTAATGAAAAAAATCAAGAAAATAATGATAGTTTGAAGCCTTAAATTTAGGTACATTTATTGAAGGAAAAATGTAACAGTGCTATGGATTATTTAAAAAAGATGTCCAAAGTGAAATATGGAGATAAAGAACAGTATTCAAGCTCATAGTCCATTTAAACAGTATAAATCGGGAGTGGAGCAAACTAGGACCCTCTAAGATATCAGAGGTGGGATCAGGTGCCATGGAGGAGGGAGGAGCATCTCCTGCCGACCGGTCACACCCGCCATGTGCTCCTTGTCATGATCGGGAAAAACAGTAAAATCCATGGACAATTCAGTGTGTAAATAATTACCTAACAATTGGTATGAAAAACGCAAGTCAGCATTTGTCTTAATGTTAGGTTGTATTTGCTGACAAGGTCATTGTATCGATCATAAAACTTTCAAAATGATGACATCAATCGAGACTGTTGATATCCTTGTTTCATCAACTTCTTTGTCAATAGCATGACTCGTTTTAGATCTTGCGTATTGAATCAACTGGGAAACATAAACCCCATATGCAGGTGATAAGGGTATACTTGTATTGCTAAATAAGTAACGAAAGTTGATGATTGAAAAATTGAAGTCATCATGTTTATTATTAAGCTTTGTTGTTAGGTTACCATTAATGTGTTTTTCTAGTAAAATATCCAAATATGAAATTGATGTGTCAGACTCTATGGTATCTTTTATTTCAAGCTTACTGTGATATATCGAGTCGACATATTGTTAATTGATATAATTCAAAAGTTAAATCCACATTTCTCAACTCCAAATAGAAAATAGAACAATATTAACATGTACATAGTTATAAACTGATGGTGAAAATATCATCATTTATGAATTTAGCCATGTATTCTAAATTTCCTTAATTTCGTAGAAAGCCCAGTTTCCTAAAAGCTAATGTTTCGCGAGTCTACGGTCGCCGGCGTGATGCAGTGGTTAGAGCGTTTGCTTTAGTCGCGGAGTAGGGAGTTGATCCTTACGTCGCGGGTTCGAATCCCACTGTGGGACGTAGAGATCGGTCCTTCAGATGAGACCGTATAAATCGATGTCCCGTGTCGCAGTAGGTTCTGGCACGAAAAAGATTCTAACTGTCAATGGCCCTGAGTTCCGAGTGTAGGTATAAATTGCAGCCCTCCATATGAGTGAAAAATTCTCGAGAGGGACGTTAAACAATAAATAAACCTCAGTAGAAATAAGGTTATTTTGTATGCTTGAATTTTACATCATTGATAAACATCACTCATCTTTAAATAAATTTAATACATTTTTTTTAATATCATCGATACCTCAAACATATATCATAGTGCAAGAAGAAATTGTGTAAATATTTTCCTGATTAGAAACATTTATCTCAAAGTTTAAAGATGCCAAACCATAATTATAAGAGTTTTTAATTTTTAAAATGTTTTCTTCTGTTTCTTTCGCTGGTATAATTTCTTTTAAACATTGACAACATTTTTGCCCGGAAACCAAGCTGATATCTCTGAAATGTCCACTAACTGATGAAATATAAAATCAAGAAATATCACGAAGAAAAATAATTCTATCAGCATAATAGTGGAAATCATCCTAAGATAACATTTGATGGATTTGTTTACCGTCAAGAACACTATATTCAAAACCATGCTTATAATAATTAAAATATCTCTAATTGAAGGGGCAGACCTGTACTTACATCCCCAGTGGTACAACTCGGTAAGACTTGAAGATATTCAAAAAGGGGAAAGATGTGTAATTATTCTCAATGAGCTATTAGATAGCTTATTTTCATTCCTCATTACACCATGTTGCCGGTTGACAGAACATGTAGAACACCAAATTATAAATGTTTTTATATTTGTGAATTTCTGACGTGTAAATGAACATCGTTTATAAGATCTGAAATTTCTTCGTTTTAATTAGGAAAGAACAACAAATCAGCTGCTGGTTTGATTCAATAAAATGGAATCCACAATCAAAACAATCCAGATAAACAAATAAGGAAATCATAAAAAAAGGTTTTCCTGAACAAAATTGAATAACAATGAAGACCTGTCTTTACTGATATGCATCCGTAATAAGTCTTCAAATTTGCTTCTTCCGACAAGGTTAATTTTTTTTACTTCGCCTTTTCAGGTCATATCAATTGAAGTCTTTAAAGGGAATCATTCGTTTAAATTCACAAAACCAGCCTTGATATAGATTGTTGACTTAAACTAAAATTCTTTCCACTAAAGACCCCTGTTTACATTATCATCAGTACAAACTCCTCAGTATGTGTGGGTTAAATGGTGAATTAAGTCAATTATTTTCTGTAGTGACTAAGCTTACAGATAAATATCACCGTGTAAACGAAATACATCAGATTCTGTAGTTAACTAAGTATCATTATAAGATAAAGTTAGTTAAAGCATAAAGTAAAGTAACATTATGCTTTATTTTAGTAAAAGCATAAAGTAAAGTAACATTATGCTTTATTTTAGTAAAAGCATAAAGTAAAGTAACATTATGCTTTATTTTAGTAAAAGCATAAGGTACCATTACGTTTTACTTTATGCTTTAAATAACAAAGTAAGTCTCTCAGGAAATAGTACACAGTATGCAGCTTGAGGAGCATAACATATACATTTTTTAATAAAAAAGGCTGGATGAGGTAAAATATCAAGACTGTTTACTAAAACTACTTTTAAGAACAATTGTCATAAATTTTTTTTAAAAAGGTTTTACAAAAAAAGAAGAATATACAAAGTGTATAAAGTATAAAAATATGACAGAACAAATGAGTTTGAAAAAATCAATTACTTTTCTTTGTGCAGACGAAAGTACCCTTTCAGTCTTTTCAAAATCATACAGATGATACAAGGGATACATGTGTAGTCATATTTACCACAAATTGTATAAGAGGTACATATATACATGTAATAATAGTTACAACACATTGTTCAAGAAGTACACATATACATGTTGTAATATTTAAAACAAACTGGATTTGAAATTGACTGAGAACAAACAAATTCATTTATTTTGGTGATAAATGTATAAAGTTTTATAAATTATCCAAAAGAAGTACTCATAGTATTTGTCATCGAAATTCAAAATATTACAGCATTTCGTTAATTTGCATAATATTCCCAAAAAACTTTCCGAATATAAAATATAAATGAAACTACCTTATTCGATTGGCATCGTCCTACATTATTCCACCTCCCCACCTTTGCTGGAGGAATCATTCCCCTTAACGATATGAAAAGTAGCTAAGTTTTCTATAGTATAAATATTATGCACACAAGAGATCCATGGGTTATTGATATTTACAACTTATTTTCATTTCATTTAAGAATTTTCATCCAAAAGATAATGCTCTTATATAAATATACGACCGTCGTAGGTCAATCGGTATACCTCTCGCTCCGTGATCGGAAGGTCATGGGCTCAAACCCCGGCGCGACTGACCTAAGTCGATAAAAAAAAAATATAGGTAGCAACTGTTCCTTCGTCAAGCGCTCGTCAATTTGATGTGAAAGTTACGGGTCTTTCGAATGAGGGTGTGTTCCCGTTTTGCACAAATTGATAATTAACAGGAACAAATCCGAATGAGGCCTTACGAAACGCGGTCCTGTGTTACGACAGGCGTTCAGGCCTCATTGCTCAATGGCCCTGAGTGCCGAGTAAAGGTCTAAATTTGAACCCCTTAACCGGTATATGGTGACGTCTCTATATGAGTGAAAAATTCTCGAACAGGACATAATACAAAATTCAATCAATGAATTAATATGAATATGCAAATATATTCAATCCAACGTTGAAAACTAATTTTCTTGTAATGTTTTATCTTAGATTGAAAATTGATGAATAACACATGTGGTTAGATATTTGTTCTGCTTAGATGAAAGAACTAATAATAAAACTTTTTAATAAATATATTATTTTATTAGAGATGTAGCTTTTGTACAGCTGTTGAAGTTATTCGGAAGGAAGATTATATTTACAAATGCAAAGTTATTTTATACAATAAGTTTAAGATATAATAATCATGTTCGCATCATGGGACCTAAATAAAAACTGCATGATCACACCAGAGCAAATTCTAAACCATTTCTGTAGATCTTAATGACGCATAAAACTATTAAAAAGAATGAATAGGAAATATTAAGGGTCTTTCATCCTCGAAGCCAGTTGATACAATCTATATCGAAAATAAAAAAGTAGTTATTTTAATTTTTATGTAAAGAGTAAAGGTAATTACCAGAAAGCTGATGTATTTAAAAGTACCTTTTTAACTCCTCGACAATACAATCTTCATAAAAACAAGTAGCAAATATCCAAATAAAGAAAAGTTTTCAACGTCACAATTTCTTGACAATTCAATCAAATTTTAAGAATCAAACACAGTTTGCAAGTTAACAACGATAAATGTAGACAAGGATTGTCTTAAAAATTGACATTTTTAGCTCACCTCGACGAAGTCGAGATGAGCTTATGCTATACCCCTGGCGTCGGCGTTAACGTCGGCGTCCCGGTTAAAGGTTTAGGAGCAAGTCCATTCCCAAGTAACTATAAGCCCTACCTGGACCAAACTTACATGGATGATGCATCTAGGGATGGACACTACCATACTTGCTTCGGATGCTGGATCTGACCTAGATTTTCAAGATGAGTGACCAGGTTAAAGTTTTTTGAGCAGGTCCATACCCAAGAAACTATAAACCCTACCTTGAACAAATTTGCATGGATGATGCATCTTGGGATGTACGCTAAACAACCTGCTTCGGATGCTGGATTCGACCTAGATTTTCCACATGAGTGAATTTTAGCCATATTTTAACCAAATTAGCATGGATTATGTAGCTAGGGATGGTCACTTCTAGACTTGCTTTGGATTCTGAATCTGACCTACATTTTCCAGATAAGTGACCAGGATTTTTTTTTTTTTTTTTTTTTTTTTTTTTTTTTTTTTTTTGAGTAGCTATATAACATTATGGCCTGTTATGATTAAACTTGCATAAATGGTGCATCTAAGGATGAAAACTTCCAGACTTACTTTGGATGATGGAACTAACCGAAATTTTCTTGATTAGTAAACAGGATAAACGTTTTTTGAACAGGTCTATTCCCAAGTAACTATAAGTCGTACTTAATGAAATATTTGGAGATACCGAACAGTATTCAAGCTCAAAAGTCCATTCAACAATACAAAATAGGAGCGGAGCAAACACGGACCTCCTAAACATCAGAGGTGGGATCAGGTGCCATGGAGGAGCGAGCATCCTCTGCCGACCGGTCACACCCGCCGTGTGCTCCTTGTCATGATCGGGAAATAACGGAAAAATCCGTCGACAATTCAGTGTGTAAATAATGGCCTAACAATTAGTATGAAAAACGTCAGTCAGCATTTGACTCAATGATAAATTGTATTTGCTGACTAGGTCATTGTATCGACCATAGAACTTACGAAATGATGACTTTAAACGCGACTGCTGATATTATTGTTTCATCGACTTGTTTGTCAACAATTTACCTCGTTTTAGAAATTGTACATACGTAGAGCATGCTCTTGCGTAAACCAAACCTGCATGGATATTGATCTTGGGATGTACACTAACTAAAAAAAGAATATGATGTGAAATTTGCCTTACTTAAAGATATCATTCGTCGAGGTGATCTTCGTACTCTTTGATTACCTATGTTTTTATACAAAAAGTTACTTTGGAGCTCCTGGTGTGCATCTTCCATTTCTTGCTCTCCACATTACTTATATTTTTGATTATCTTTCGAAACAAAAAAGACAGAAATTAAATAAAGTCTTAAAAATAATTGAACATAATCACACACAGGTGTGACCGGTCGACAGGGGATGCCTACTCCTCCATGTCACCAGATCCCATTTCTGTTTTCAGAGGTCCGTGTTGGCTCTGTTCATAATTTTTATTGAGTGGACTTTTGAGAATAATCGCTATTCGTTATCTTTGTATATCTTTTTATTATTTTTTTTTCGTTTTCAGCACTTTATCGGACTATCACATCTATAACATTACCAGATCGGATTTCTTAGGTGCTACAAACCTCAAAGAACTGTAAGAAATTTGTCGTGTTTACACTAAATAATGACTATATCAGCTTATGTGACGAACTTTTTAACGCCTTCGTTCTTGTATTAACGTTTATACTGATAAACTCAAGAACAATGCAAATCAAAATAACAATTTTTTTTTTTCAAAATGTACGTTTGTTTCTTGTCTTAAAGTATCAAATAATTACAAAGATAAGTATAAGCATGCACTATTTAAAAAAAAACATTGAAAATCTTTGATTTTTCTTTCTTTTCCAGACACATAATGAACTGTAAAATCCAAATGATAAGCACCTTTGCCTTGGATCATCTTCGACAGTTACAGACAATGTTGGTTGAAATATAGATTTATAACTTTACTAAATGTTTTATAACTATTTTTTAATATAATAGTATATTTACTATATAAATTCCATTCCAATTTAACCTTTAAACTTGAATGGAATTGAAGAACAATTACATCTCCAGATTTCTTTTCATCAGTTATCGTAAATCAGGGAATGGTATTTAATTGCACATACAATCGTAAAGCCAAGTAAAAGAAATACAACAATGAATTACATTTTTTTTCTTTTAGGGGGTTTGCTATACGATAAAACCTTAATAAATTGATTTTTCTTGACAAAATCTTTGAAAGGTTGATTAAATGTGGGGAAAATGTGAACCTTTTATTTAATATAGCAAATGGTATCTATTGTTATTTTAATATAGTGTCTTTACACCTAATATTTTGTTGAATACTATCTGAAGAAAAAGTACAGTGTATAAATATATAGAAGGGACAATGGTTCATTATAACACTTTTTGAAAAATACGGTCCTTTTTTAAATAAAATTGATTTTTATATGATATTTGGATTTCTTCGATATTTCTTGCATTTCATAGATTTAATATATACCAATTAACAATAATTGTATTTTATTTTTATTTTTTGCAGTAATTTACAAAGGAATATATACCAATTAACAATAATTGTATTTTATTTTTATTTTTTGCAGTAATTTACAAAGGAATAAGTTATCCTTTGTTGGAAAGAATACTTTTTATCACATGGTTCAATTAAAGAAAATGTAAGTAAATATAATTTTAGAAGGCGGTCAATCTAAATAATTCACTTCAAATTGAGCTTGATTTAAGTTCCAATAGAATCTAAACCCTTAATAATATGAGATTCATTGAAATTTACTTCTTTTTTCAGTGACCTTAGCATGAATAACATTAGTTACATCGAAGGAGATGCATTTTATTCTCTTCACAATTTGTTAGAATTGTAAGTATTGTACTTTTTTTCTACCTTGCTTTTTTGCGTTCTTTTTTTTTTCTTTTTCCGTGTTACTTATTTTTGAGGATATTTATAATTTATTAGGTCAAGTATATCACTGAGCATTCTATAAAGATTTTTTTCATTATCCATTAAAGATAATGATTTGTATTAATTTATTTATGAAGTTTGTTAAAAGAATGTAGATATTTTCAAAGAGATTCCGGAATATATGAAAGTCTAATTTAATTTAGCAATGTTTTAACTTGTTATGGTTTATTTGGTTACAGGAATTTGAGTGGTAACCCATTACAGTGTAATTGCGAGATGCAAAGGTTTAAGGATTGGAGTTATATTAGAAGACAACAGGTGGCGCTGCTAGACGCTAGATGTGCCAATAAAAACAATTTGTCCCTCTTTGATGTCAAAGATTTTGGTTCATGCAAATGTGCGTGTTGACAAACTGCAATAGACTTTCTATCAGCTTACAGTAGGAAAATGATTGAAATATTGAAATATAAAGACTAAATCAATTTCGTATAAAAGAGATGATCTGTAACAGCTAGGGAATTTTAAAAAAATCTTGACAAACATAATAAGAGAAAATAATGTTTTTATTATATGCTACCTTTTGCTATTTTCTAGACCCCAGTCTGTTTCGCAATCACACTTGCTATCAGTGTAGTGGAACATTATCTCACAACGACTGTGAAGAACAATTTTGTTCTGCAAATGAGGTAGAAGTTTTATTTAAAAAAACATTGAATTAATTATAATAATAATTATTGTTTCAGAAGTAGTGGTTTTTTCCTACTCCTGTAGCTTTGCATATACATGTATATAATATTTTTTTTAGTTTTTCCATTCAAATTTGATATGAAATGACCAAATTAAACAAAATCAGTTTTATTCATTGTCAACATTGTGATCAGGATTGCCTTTTAGATATTGCTCTTATTCATAAATAATAATAACTCCTTTCTGAATATTATGTTCAATTAGAAATATTTTATATAGATATATATTTCTATCTTTCAGGCTTGTTTTTCCCAGATTGATTTTGTAAATAATAAAGTATTCATCAACAAAGGATGTACTGTAGACAGAGATTGTGCTCACAGAGAGAAACAAAATGTAAACACTTGCTACAACTCAGCCGGCTCTCGAAATTGTTATTTCTGTTGTCTTGATAACAAGTGTAATGGAAAATCTCTGGGACGTGAGTATTCACCCCCCCCCCTCTCTCTCTCTCTCTCTCTCTCTCTCTCTCTCTCTCGAGCTTTTTCAAGAAACTTATTTGAAAATAATTCTTTAATAAAACATTCAATTACTTCTATATTAATATTCTTGTTTATGAAAAACTTTAAATCAAATTACGAAAATGACAAATTTTATTTTTTAGGAAGGACAAAAGAAGTTCACTTTTACATACCAATTACGATGTCTGAGCTTAGCTATCCCTATCAATCCCAGTTTTATAATGATTCTGTCCTAGGTTCACTAGCTAATGTAAGTAAATGAATATATAAACAAGAGGCCCATGGGCCAAATCGCTCACCTGAGCTCATTGGCTAGGAAGAAGCAGAAATCAGTTCAGTATTGAATGGAAGAAAGGGGGGGGGGGCACGGGGGCAAACTTTAATTTACACTACCTCAAAATGCTTCAATATCAATATTACTAATCATGGCTTTTCTGTTCTTAAACAGAAGAAATTTAAAGATTTTTTCCTATGTTTTCCACCGTCTTGGTAGCTCATTCTGTAGAGCTCTCGATCCGCGATCGGAAGGTCGTGGGTTGGAGCCCCGGCCGCGACTAACCTAGGTTGATAAAAAGTAGGCTGCAACTGTTCTTCCGCCAAGCGCTAGACACTTTGAAGTGCAAGTTGTGGGTCCTTCGGATGAGGCCCTGTGTCACGACATGCGTAGGCACGATAAAGATCCCTCACTGCTCAATGACCCTGAGTGCCGAGTAAAGGGTCTAAATTCGAAGCCCTTCACCGGTATATGGTGAAGTCTCTTTATGAGTGAAAAATTATCGAACGGGACGTAAAACAATATAAAATCAATCAATCATATGTGTTCCTATGAAAAACTCTGTAAATGTGAACAAATTTGAGTCTTCACTACCCGAGGATGCTTCTATAATAATATGACTCATGGCTTTGCTGTTCCTGAGCAGAAGATTTTTAAATATGATTCCTATATTTTTTTCTTATGAAAAACTTAATTGACCCTCTGTTGTGCCCCATGATTTGAACAAACTTGATTCTACAATACTTGAACTTGCTTCTATATAAATATGACTAATAATGGCTAAGTTGTTCTTGAGAATAAGATTTTAAAGATATTTCCTATGTAAAGGCATTTCACAATAGAAAAGGATTTACAAAGAGAAAGTTTCAAAAATGAAATTAACTAAGCATTAATTAATTAACAAAGATTGCATTGAAGTCTATGGGGACAAGCGATTTTTTGAAAATAAAATTTCAAATAATAAGAATATCAATAAATACTCTGGGGGAAAGATGCATTAAAACATTAGAAATAGAATGACAATCGAAAAAGATTTTTTTTTTTTACCAAATAAGTTTTTTTTTAAATTGATTTTTATATTAATTAAAAAAACAGACAAAAATTCAAGGTCATAAATTAGGACACATTCCACCCTTACATGCTAATAGTACTACATGAGAATTATGTCTAAATATATTGAGTATGAAACACCTACACATCTCATACGTATTTAATTTCATTGAATCTGTTGCTATTAGTGATTGAGTACCTTAACTTCTTTATTGCTGATTCAGCATCCAACTTCTTCAGCTAGCTTCTGAATGCCGGACTTTCCCAAAGCTTTGCCTTATATACCCTTTAGTTTGGCTAGTCCATTCCAAGGGTTGTCAGGTCATTCCATTATTTGAGGTCTTCAATGCGTTTTACTCAAATGCCCCTTTACCATTACACCTATATAAAACTATGTAAAACTTTAACCCCCCTGGTGTGGCCCTGCTCTACCCTAGGGGTCATGATTGGAACAAACTTGAATCTACACTACCGGAGGATACTTCTATTATAATATGACTAATAATGGCTTTGCTGTTCTAGAGAAGAAGATTTTTAAAGACATTTCCTATATATTCTTATGTAAAACTTTGACCCCCTCTTGCGGCCCTGCCCTACCCCCGGGTGACACGATATGAAAAAAACTTGAATCTTCTGTATGTAATGAATCTTTCACATAAGTTTCATCTTTTCTTGCTCAGAGGTTCTTGAGAAAATTTTTAAAAGACACCACCAAATTTTCACGAATTCTTTATTATCTCCTCATGAAAGATGGTGCGGCACTTCCTGTGAACAAACTGAAATCCCCATCACCTAAGGATGCTTTGTAGCAAGTCTGGTAGAAATTTGCCCAGTGGGTCTTGAGAAGAAGTGGAAAATGTGAAAAGTTAACGGACTACAGACGACAAACGGACGCCGGACACAGTTTGATCAGAAAAGCTCACTTGAGCCTTCGGCTCAGGTGAGCTAAATATATGTTTCTTGACACCCTTCAAGGCCACTTGCTGCACTTTTCATAAATCATGGAAATAGATACTTAACTATGTTTATTAGGTAAAATGAATAAGTTAAGCCACATAAAGTTTGTACCATAAAGTGATTGAATAATTGTATAGATTTATAAAGGGAAGGTCAAAGAGTGAGAATTTTGAACAACAAAGAAAATTTACAATTTTTGCAATACTTTAGGAATTTGACATCTGCATCATTTACAAGAAACAAAGTTTAGGTAAATGTAACAAAGTTTAGAAATTTTAAATTCTAAATTTTTTTGGTTTGTGCTAGCGTGCTTAAAATATATCCATTTTTGAGTCTGTTAAATCGGTTCATCCAAATTTATAGGGATTACGTTTTAAGTATAAAAAAAAATGTGAAAGAAATGCAACTATATACTAAGGATTATTAAATGTTTTTCAGATGCAACACCATGTTCTCGCAAATTTTTATGAGGGTAATTGCTCCTTCTCTGCTAATGATGTAACAGTTCAACATGCAGGGTAAGTTGAAGAAAATAATATTTTAAATAATGCAGATTACGTATTTGTAAGTTATCAAGTCTTAAATCTTTGTGGTACAAGTAAAAACCAGTAACATTTAGCTGTAAAGTCTTGTGCAGAATAAGAAAATCTTATTTCATGAAGTAGAAAGATAATTTATTACATCTTTATTCCTTTACATGTAAACTTACAGAAGATTGTTCTTTACAGTCCACCCGAATTTACAATATATTTCAAGGCCATTTGTACGACGTTCAAAGAGTACAAACGTACAGACATAAAATATGCACTAGAAAAGTATCTGAAGAATCTTTCTACAAATGCCGGATTTCGATCGCCCATCCTTAAAGTCGATATCTATTACAGAGGTTCATGTTCTTCTGTGTCTTGTATATTTTATGTTAAAGATAAAATTTACAGTAAGCTTTGAAATATTCGACCATCTGTGTAGCATGAGTGCAGTTCCTATAAAGGATTTTGATATCTGTATAATATGTAATTTGAGTAATAGTACATTTTTCAATATCTACTCACTTTTCAAAAAAAAAAAAAAAAATTAAAAAATTTAAAAAAAAAATATTCGTTCATTAAGTTATATTTAAATCATTAAAATAACTCTAGATTTCTGTGAGGCCGAGGACACGACTAATTACCCTAGACAAGGAGTTTGGCCAGCTACTAAGTATGGAGAGGTAGCCCAGGTTTATTGTACAGACAACATACTTGTCAGAAGGATGTGGTAAGTCTAATTAACATGAATTATTTTTCCGTGATTTTTTTTTTTGTTTTTTTTTTACTTTTTTAATCTGTAGGGTTACTACTACAGCATCATACTTACAAAGTTGTTATGCAGCAGGATTTGAGATTTGTTAATACAATAACATTCCTATTTTCTTTTAACCTGGTTTGATCTGTCTTGGTATCTGCTAACATTTAATTGTTATATGCAGCTCAGAGAGTGAGGGCTGGGCTCCCCCGCCGTTATGTACCGTAACACAACCACAGACAACAACAACCCTCGCCCCCACTACAACTACCGCCTCTTTAGAAGAGCTCTCCACCCGTACTGTGGATGATAGTGAGTAGTAGTAAATAACTGGATGATAGTGAGTAGTAGTAAATAACTGGATGATAGTGAGTAGTAGTAAATAACTGGATGATAGTGAGTAGTAGTAAATAACTGGATGATAGTGAGTAGTAGTAAATAACTGGATGATAGTGAGTAGTAGTAAATAACTGGATGATAGTGAGTAGTAGTAAATAACTGGATGATAGTGAGTAGTAGTAAATAACCTCATTATATTGTCCTTACCACAAAGAGTTTAAAAATAAAAGAGTTACCATGTATATATACTTTTATATTTATATAGGTATCCAGAAATAATTTATGAGGTTATCAACTCCTCATTAAGCATAACTGGGAAATCCTTATTTGGAACTTAGAATTTTCATTTCTTTAAATATCATTTTTTAACGTCGCAAGTAGAAAAATGTCATGTTCTTGTTAAATACATTCAAGGGAAGTGACAGGACGTGAAGAAATGTCCATTATATTGCTATTTTATTTGTATTGTTAGATTCGGCCGATGAAATCGCCGAGCAGCTGTATATTCAAACAGAGAAGGCCCCTGAGTTTACGGATATAGACATAAATATGACGGTTTCTCTCTTAGAAAAACTAGAGAATCTACAAAGCACGTTTTCAGCCGACAACAGGGAGAAAAATATTGTGGGCGTCATGAGTCACATCATGAATGTACAGGAGACAGAATTCAGTCAGGCGGAAAAGAAATTTCAATCTGCTAGCAGGTACAGAATGAATAATTTGAAAGGTCAAGAGGTCATTTTGTTTACAAGAAACATAGAACACTTGTTTGTTGTTGTGATGCATGCAGCGTTTAATAACTGTTTAGCCAAGATTTGAAGAAAGCATTGTTGATACCTGAAATGAAGATGTTTGTCTAGCTCTAGTTGTCTTTTCTCAGCAGTTTTTTTAGCTCTTACCTCTGTGGCACATTTTGATTATCATCTTTCACCATCAAATTGAAATTAATATGTTCAATACAACTTTTGCTTTGACTTTGGCCATTTAAAATGTTTTCGATCATTGATCAATACAAGATTAAAATCATTTCAATTAGTTAACATTATGAAATGATAACACATAATATTCAGGTCGATCTTTGTCCATTTATAAAGAGTGAAATTGATTCAACTTGTTGATATTTAACTAACGTACTCTTTCCCATTAATTTTAGAAATTGGTAAACCCTCAGTTAATGCCTTTAAACATAATATTTGACTTTAACATTCATCATAATGTTATATTTGAGGGCATACTTTTGATTTTTGAAGCTTTAAATATTGTTACGTACATGTATACACATATCTCGTTCACTTATTGTTATCAAATATTAAATTGCAACACGGTAATCTTTAAGTTATGATTTCTTGTGATAGTTAATATAGACAAATCCAAAATCATTTTTTAAAGATTTGTTTGTTTTAATTTCCCACCAGATTACTAGGATCCATTCAGAAACTCTCTACCTCCACAAGCTTAACGAACGGAGATTTCAAACAGGTTGAACCGAACATAGGGATAATGGCAGCGTCTACCAGTAAAACAAACTACAATGGAATAGTGCTGGCATCACTGGCTCATCCCAGTAGTGAACTAGACGAGACAAATGTAATCTGTGACTTTTAGATTACCAGATTTCGATTTTTAAGCTAATAAGTGAAATTCAACCAAATTTAAAACATACAACATATTTGAAATATTTGTGTTTATACCTATTGTTTTAGCTGGTTCTAACAAAAGATGGGACCATTCCAGCTCGGTCTGCTTCCTGGATACACCTTCCCAGACAACTGATGTCCGAACTTCCGTCTTCTTCTTCTCCATCAAGAGTAACTCTGGCAGCTTTCAAAAACGACAAAATGTTTAGAGTAAATAATGACATGTTTTCTACTTTCAGCACACATGTGTTTTTCTTATGGTAGTTTTAACTTTAATTGGCTTATTTTCTAGTGACCTAGAACTAAATATATATTATGACATTAGTTGTGGTCCTATCTACTTAGTACTATTGTTCTTCATTATTTTGGTTTTTCTGTGTAGGCCATTCGTTCGACCTCTAAACCAGACCCCGATGACGATGACGATGATGAAATTATACTAAGAAGTGAGTCTAACAGTGTTATTCTCTCAGCACAAATACCCAACGTCAAAGTGGACAACCTTGACACCCCAATAGAAATGCGATTTCAACAAAATATCAAGGTTTGTATAATAAACATGGTATTGAATAAATGCTCATCCCGAGAGAAAAAAAATGATTTTAACGAAAAAATGTTTACATCATTGATTATTTATTTTTATCCATTTTTTGTGAAGGTCAAAAACGAAATAACGGATTCCTCGGTAATGCTTCGACGTATTTTGAGATTTCTATTTACCTGTCCTTTTCTGACAACTTATGCTTCTTAATCCTGTATAATGTCCTATAATGTCTTTCCACACTTGTTCAAGATAATTCCCTCTCTTATTTTCTACCTAATTGCACTTCTGATACCTTTCTCGTTTTCTTCATTTCTCTACATACTTAATTAACGCTGATTACAGATTGCTTAAATAATATATACTTAATACTTAGATATGTTTACATTATTTTTTTACCATCACACTTCCTTGATGCTTCTAATAACTTATAATGAGCAAACGATTATTTTACTTTGAGATCAGAAATATTTAACTAATATTTACAATGTTGAAATTTTGAATAGTTTGTAAGCTAAAATATAAATTCATTAATGAATTAAAAATCTGAATTTTACTAGTTATTTTTAGATTCAGTTATTTTACATTACTATGTGCTATAGATCATCATCATACTTTTGACTTACAGAATAACACGATAGGATGACAAAGTGATTATAAATATCTTAAACTTTCTTTACCTTTCATGATGCTTTGAACTTTCAATTTGAATTAATTTTTTTTAGACAGCAGAGAATGCAACATGTGGATATTTTATTGAGGTGGGACCCAACAAAGGTCACTGGTCAAGTGAAGGGTGTAAGGTCAAAGTTCACAAACCCGGGGAATATACTGAATGTCACTGTGATCATCTCACTAACTTTGCCTTGTTGATGGTGAGCATCACATGTATGTTAAAAATTACCCAGATTGCATTCTGTTATTATTTTTCAATGAGTTAATTGTTACTGTAATAATTATATAAAGGTAACTTAAATTGAATAAATATGCATAAATTCCAGTTTTTAAGAACTTATTTTGTACATTGATGTTTGTTAATCATTTTGCAGGACGTATATAGTGTTGGAGGCGATATCAGTGAGGCTAATAAGATGGCCTTGACCTATTTGTCTTATCTGGGCTGTGGCATCTCCCTTATAGGCCTCGTTCTGACCCTCATTACGTACTTCATGTTCAGGTACATAATAAAAATATATACCAAAATACAGATCATTTATTGCCAAACATATCTACTGAAAGGAAAAGAAATCGGTGGACAATTTCTATAATAATATTTTAAAAATCTAATTCTTTTCAGAAAATTACGCAGTCATAATCCAGCAAAGATATTGATTAACCTCTGTATTGCCATTGCTGCCACGGACCTGATATTTCTGGCTGGTCAACAAGAATATACCCTAAAGAACGAAATAGGATGCAAGGTAAAGTGTCCAGAATGCTGCCAAGAAAGACGAGAGAATGAAATCGAAATCATTTACATTGTTAATAATAATGATGTATGTCATTATAAACAAGATAACTGTAGCATAAGATTATTTATAACAAATAAAATGCAGATTATCGAAGTCTGTGTGTTCTTTAAAATATATACTTGTGCTTTTCTAAATTGTTGCCTCCTCTCTTCCTTTCTTTTTTCCCTCTGAAGGGTGTTTTATGTAAGTAGAATCATATTAATTGTACATTCGTTTGGTATCATTCTTTTTTTTCAGATTGTTGCAGCCTCTCTTCATTTTTTCCTCCTATCTGCCATGTGTTGGATGCTGGTAGAGGCATATTACATGTACATTGCTCTCATCAGAGTTTTTAATTCACATATATCATTATTCATTCTGAAAAGTGTTGCGGTTGGATGGGGTAAGTGCTTTCTGCCATTAGCAATTATGATATCTGAAAATATCATAATGCACTTTTTGAGATATTTTATGTTTGAAATGAGACGCTGAAAAAATGCATGTTTCTTCATACCCTGTATCTTTTTTGCTTTAGGTATACCTCTGATTATTGTTGCCATAACACTTGGAGTGAATACAACTAATAACTACGGCAATCAAAAAGGAGGAATGTAGGTGTTGGGCGCTAAAAAATAAACGATTGCTAAAGATTTAAAAGATTTTACTCATCCAGTTTCTTGTTGTTTAAACATTAACCATATCCTTCTCTTTTTTTCCAGATGTTGGTTGAATCCTATTCCATTTTACGCAGCTTTTCTCGCACCTGTCGCTATAATAATGATTATTAATTTTATTGTGTTCGCCATGGTTCTTCGCCAGCTTTTAGGAGCGGCAACAAAGAATCTTAACAAGACTGATTCCACCAAAACCTCATCGCGCTTGCGCGGAGCTGTTACTTTAGTGATTATGTTGGGACTCACGTGGGTGTTTGCAATTCTAGCCATCGATGGAGGGGCACCAGTTTTTCAATATTTATTTACAATATTTAACTCTCTACAAGGATTGTTTATCTTTGTATTTCATTGTTTGCTGAAAACTGATGCCCAGAAGGCGTGGAAGAGGGCATGTTGTGCTGGAGATAAAGACAAGGATACAAAAACATCCAAAGGTAAGTACACAATACTTGTGGTATGAATACGTTTGACTATGAGACCGATTCTGATCAATTCGGAGATTTTAAAACAAAACAGAAAAAATGTATTGTCCTCCTGAATTTTGAATCTGCATATAAATCAGCAAAAACTTTATTTTCCTCCTTTAGAAATCAAGAGCATTTTTTTTAAATTTCTTTTTATTGAATTTTGAGGTGAACATCAACTCTCGAAACTTAAAAATATAATTAATATTTGACAAGCTTCATTCTTATATAAAAGAAAAAATAGGTGAAAAGCCTGCAGAGAAACCTGGAGGTAAATAAAAGATTTGACAAATCACTTGGATGAGAAAATGTTTGTCACTAGATGAAATCAACCTGAAACTCTAGAGATTTATCTCGTTATTTTCATGTATAAATACATTATCATTTTGAGAACCCATGTATAAAAGAAATATTTTCCAAAAGATTATGTTTGTTGAGGTGAATGTACGACTATTTTTCTAGTAATAAAGAGTAAGTAATGAGGTTTGCTGGAGCCATAAATTGGCAGAAAATAATTTTTTAACCTGCACAAAAACCGCAGATGTAGCTCTACTTAACACATACGTAGTCCCGGGGATGTAAACAGATTTCTTTTGCATCTTTGATCATGCAGCAAAAGACACTTTACTTAATTGCAGTGATTAATGAAGACTGTATAGGAAAACCTCATTAGAGTATTATTTTTTAAATCAATTATTTATTCCTATTACAAATATTATGTTAAATACGATAAAATTTATCAACAAAATCATTTGCAGATTAATTAATTTCTATGCTCTTAGTAAAGTATAAGATTTGTTGTGACAATTGATCGATCAGAATAGTTATCCCTTCCCAAACCATTGTTAATTAGTGTCACTTATATGTGTACACAGTTAACATTAACTTGTCCAAAAATTCAGGAACACAATTTATAAATATGATTCTGATGCCTTCGGATGAGACCACATAAACTGAGGTCCTTTGCGCAGTAGGTGTTGGCACGAAAAGATCCCTCACTGCTCAATGGCCATAGGTGCCGAGTACAGGTCTAAATTTGCAGCCCTCCACCGGCAAGTGGTGGCATCTCAATATTAGTAATAAAAAAATCTCGAAGGGACGTTAAACAAACAAACTGGTGTGAGTGTGGATTTCTAATCACCAACAACTGTTTGTGTTTGTTAACGTACACTGATACCTGATCCAGATGTGAATGATTTTGTTTTGTGTATTGCTAACGTTTGTGTTGTGCACTCTGATCATGAAATAGTTTTACTGTACATTTTAAAACGATTTTTACTCATAGAAGCATTTATAAAACGTTAAAGAACATAAATTACAAATATTATTAATATCAATATTTGATGTTACATATTCATATTTGAATTTCTTTCAGTATAATTCATATTGATTTTTTTCAGTATATTTTTAAGGTATTCAGAATCTGCTTGACAGAACTACAATTTACCTAGATATCTATTTCACATGATCTTTTTGACAGGTTACTCCAGTAATGAGCAGGAAAACATGTCTAAATCCACTGCCTCCTTCTCAGATATTAATACAGATATCAAACACAGAGGTATGTTAGTTTCTATATATATTAATTCATATTTAGCTGAATGATCAATTGATTTCGAAGATAAAATTGATTAATTTTGATAAATTTAAATTCACCATGATACGTTGCGCATTACTCTAGTACGTTAATTTTAAAATTAGCATATATATATATATATATATATATATATATATATATATATATATATATATATATATATATATATATATATATATATATATATATATCCCATGTTTACCCCTTTATCCCGTGGATATGACTCATTGGATAATTTTTTCATAATCCACAGTTGTGACGTCACAATGGTTTTTGCGTTAGCGCGATGAAGTAAAATAAAGTGGAGTCCTATATAAAACAGTGTAAAACATTGATTTTGAAGTATTAAACATGGGATAAAAAGAATCTCCCATGATTTGTAGTTGGATAAGACTTTTATCCAACTCGTTGTGTGTTTTTATCCCCTCGCCAAGGCTCGGGGATAAAAAACACACAACTCGTTGGATAAAAATCATATCCAACTACAAATCATAGGAGATCCAATGTATATATATATATATATATATATATATATATATATATATATATATATATATATATATATATATATATATATAAAACTTGTAAACCTCCCCAATTATTCATTTTGAATGTGATTATTTATATTACAGAGAAGTCGGCTAATGGTGTATCCAGCAAAAGTCGTGCCAAAGATTTCCCTTCATATTCTGGATCATCTATTTGACAAAATGTAACAATCACCAAATTAGCTGCTTTAATCAGATCTCCGTTAATTGTTGTGTTATAAATAAACTAATGAGCTCGTCAAAATGCCTATGTTATTGTATCTTTTTTTATAATAATCACGTTTATTTCTAACAATACATTGTATACTTCAATATTTATTTTGTCCTGTATACAGAAAGATGCCTATATGTTTACGCTGTTAACTGCTACACTTTTAATATGTAGATAATATTTTTAGCTAAGCTGGGCAGAAACAAGTTGTTTTGATTTTTAATAAAAATATGCGAAATCATAAAGAGGTTGAATAAATACTCAATTAACTGAAGGTTTTGATGTATGTTTTAAAATAATAAAATAATTTGAGTAAAGTTTATATTTAGATGTGTTTAACTCAATAGTTCATGTATCTTTTTCCAGTACTGTTTATATTGTTTTAAACCTTCCGATTTACCTTAATATAATAGCCGTAATAGTCATTACCCCTTTGTAATGTCTATCGGCTGTGAACAGTATAACGTAGCAAAATTGATGAGAAATGAAATAAAGAAACAAGGATACTGTTAAGACTAGAGTGTTCAAAGGAACGCTTGTGTAGCCTGCTTTGTAGCTTCATTAAATTAATACTAGCATAATAGTTCATGCATAAAAAACATCCACGGATAGTATAAGACTGCGATAGAATCTATCAATCAAAGAAAATTTGATTTCCTACCCTCGATAATTAAATTGAAATTATTATAAATATTTTTTTAATCATTTTACATGTTTTGATACTTGTTTCAAAGTCTTTACTTCAATTGTCAGTCTACTGACTGACGTTTTTCACACTAATTGTTAGGCCATTATTTACACACTGAATTGTCGACGGATTTTTCCGTTATTTCCCGATCATGACAAGGAGCACACGGCGGGTGTGACCGGTCGGCAGAGGATGCTCACTCCTCCATGGCACCTGATCCCACCTCTGATGTTTGGAGGTCCGTGTTTGCTCCGCTCCTATTTTGTATTGATTAATGGACTTTTGAGCTTGAATACTGTTCGTTATCTCCATATATTTCATCTATTGGATAAAAGATAATATAACGTTTAGAAATCAAAACATAAATAGAAGTAAAATAATAAATTATATCTAGACAAATGAGAAACTTTTTTTTTAAAACATCTACAGAACATTTAATGATATGTTCATTTCAAATTAACAAAAGGAATATGAGCTAAAGAGGAAAGGGAATTCAGTTATTAAGCAGATGCAAAGTACAGGTACTAGTAATGACCATTTATAATGCATCTAAAATTACAGATGAAATTTGATGATCGCTTTTGCTAAAGTTTGAATCAATAGGCTATTAACTGGATTACTCATCAAATTGACCACTTACTGTACACAAAGTTTAATACACTCATGATGAAAATCTCTCCGAAAATACATCCCGATCTGAATAAGACCCGTGTTCCTGTGACTCAAATATGCGTCAGAACAATGAAAATAGTACATAGAAGCTTATAGTTCACATACATCTTTAAAAAATGAAGAACGGAGTTAAATGGCAATTTAATAAAATTGTTAGAAGGATATATAATAATTACTCCTCGTTATCTTCATCTTTTTCATTCCAAAAAAAGAAATTATTTCAGAAATGGAAGCAATGTATTATGAAATATATGGAAATAACGAACAGTATTCAAGCTCAGAAGTCCATTAAACATTACAAAATAGATGTAGAGCAAACACGGACCTTCAAAACATCAGAGGTGGGATCAGGTGCCATGGAGGAGTGAGCACCCCCTGCCGACCGGTCACACCCGCCGTGTGCTCCTTGTCATGATCGGGAAATAACGGAAAATACGTCGACAATTCAGTGTCTAAATAATGGCCTAACAATTACTATGAAAAACGTCAGTCAGCATTTGACTCAATAATAAATTGTATTTGCTAACAAGGTCATTGTATCGATCATAGAACTTACGAAATGATGACTTTAAACGAAACTGCTGATATTCTTGTTTCATCAACTTGTTTGTCAATAATTTACCTCGTTTTAGAATTTGTACATACGTAGAGCATGCTCTTGCGTATCGAATTAACTGAGAGATATAAACCCCGTATGAAGGTATATTGCTGCATAAGGGAAGTTGACGATTGAAAAGTTACAGTCATCACGTTTATCATAAAGCTTGGTTGTTAGATTACCATTAACGTCTTTTTCAAGAAAAATATCCAAATATGAAACAAATGTGTCAGATTCTGTGGTATCTTTTATCTCAAGCTCACCAGGATATATCGTATCGACATAAGAATGGAAATAACCATTGTTAAATGACAATACGTCGTCGATATATCTAAATGTCGAGTTAAAGGCCACAGCAAGTGTATTTCATTTATGTGTTGTAAACGGAGATTGCTGTTTTTTATTTTTACATGAGAGATTGTATTATAATATGAGAAGAGACTTCGCTGATGTTTGCATCTTTTGTGTTCTTGATAACAGGCAATATTTTAACAAACGCGAAGAGACTTTGCTGATGCTTGCATTTTTTGTGTTCTTGACAACCGGCAAGGCAATATCTTAACAAACACGCTTTGACATGAAGTTGTACGAAACAGATCAGATTTTGAAAATGCAGAAACAACAACAAACTAATATATTTACATTTGCTGTGTTTTTCTAGTAAACCAACTTTGAAATTGATTTGAAAGCCATTTTTGTGTATACTTACGCGTAGAAATACACACGGAGAACTCGCTCTAAAGAGACGTCACAATGAGGCTACAGAGACGTTAATAAAAATATGACGATATAGGGCAGCGAGAAATTCAAACATTGAGTATATTTTTGGTGAATTTAAACATTTAAAATGTAAATATAAGGAATGTTTTTAAGTTTAGTGTAAATTATTTGTGTGTACATCACACAGACTTGCACCTAGGCATATTTTTCATGAAGCGCGCTAGCACGCTTCATGAAATATGCCTACGTGACAAGTCTGTGTAATTTACACACCAATAACTCAAACAAAACTTAAAAAACATTCCTTAATTGACATAAATACCTTTTTACAAAATGTTCCAACTTTGTCTGATGGCAAAAATCCATTTTGTCTTTATCAGTAGCCTGTCTGCATGATTGTACTTGTGTTCAAACACATTCAAGTTTCTAAATCTAATGGATTAAAATTTGACGTAAAGCATCCATCACGACGCCAGATATTTAGAATATTATTTTTTTAAAATGTTAAACCACCTGTGCTACAAACCCTGGTGTGAAAATCACGAAGAATGTAAAAATTTACAACAAGAGTTTGTATGCTTTTCGAAGTATTCCTAAAAAAAATTACTGTAGTTAAACTATAATAGTTAACTACAGTAAATATTTTGAAACTTTGATTAACTATGAAACTTTACTCTAGAACTTTTTTGAGAAAAGAGCCTTTCTTATTTCCTTAATTTCATTCCAATGATGTAAATTTTAGAAATGATATGTGAATATATATTAAGTAATATTTCCTTTCAATAGAAAAATATTTAATTTAAGGTTTAGAGAAAATGAAATATAATTATTTGAAATTCATGTTAAAAAATTGTTTGGATCTCCTGTAGTAAAAAGTGATACTATAGTAGACGTAAGTTAATTGTAGTAAATTTTTGTTACAGTTTACCTCTGATCTAAAAGAAACTGCTTGTTTTTACAATAAGTATTGATAAACACTTAATTCATTCACATGTAAAATATATTTTCCTACTATTATTTTAAACACAATAATGTAGTAGATCTCAGGAAGTTGGTGACGAGAACAATTCCTACAATATTGGAGCATGTATTGAAATGAACTCCTACTCCCTCACTGAAAGTTATGTCTTAGCTTCGTTGATAATTCACAGTCGTAACAATTGTCCACAGTACATGTATATGCTTCTGACGAAATTCAGAAAACAATTTCTGCTCTATCAAGATTTGTAAAGTGTGTCATTTGCAAAATTATTTTGTCAAAAACATTCCGATTGTACACACAAGTACTGTGAAGTAGATATAAAAAAGATGCTTGAGTTTCTGATTGACGATACTCTTTAGTTTTTGGAGATCAGGTCTTTCAACAATCTGTCGGAATTCCCATGGAAACCAATTGCGACCCGTTATTAGCAGACCAATTTTTTGTATTCATATAAAGCCGAATTTATTCAAAAACTTATACATGAGAAGAATGTTAAACATACAGAAAATCAGAATTTGATTTAAGAAATAAAACTGTATTCAGCATGCAAAAAGTTGAATATTGTACTGCAAATAACTGTAATGCAAGTGAAATAATATTTTAAAAGACAGCAATACAGATTAACTTCATCATGAAATACGGAGATAACGAACAGTAATCAAGCTCAAAAAACCCTTTAAACAATACAAATTGGGAGAAGATCATACTTGGACCTCTAAAAACATCAGAGGTGGGATCAGGTGCCATGGAGGAGTATGCATCCTCTGTCGACCGATCACATCCACCGTGTGCACATTGTCATGATCGGGAAAACGGAAAACTCTGTAGACAATTCAGTGTTTAAATTATGGCCTAACAATTGGTATGAATAACGTCAGTCAGTGGTCGACTTAATGATAGATTATATTTTGCTGAAAATGTCTTTATCAACCATAGATTGTTTGTTTATTTTTACAGTAGCTTCAGTTTAATGGTTGATAGTGCGTACGCTGAAGATGTTCTTGCGACATAAACAAGGGACGTTGACGTTAGAAAAGATGAAGTCATCCCGTTAACCTGGAATTTTAATTGTTAGTTTACCATCAATGTCTTTCTGAATTAAAAACTAAAATATGAAACAGACGTTTCAGATTTTGTGGGGTCTTATCAACGTATGAAGAGTGAGTAACCGATTTCCAGCCGATAGTAATAATAAAAATCAATTTAAATATTTGGCTGAAATTGTGCTCCTTAACAATTACAAAAAAAAAAAAAAAAAAAAAAAAAAAAAAAAAAAAAAACATAAAAGGTGATTGTCTCTCTTTTCTGATTTCCTGTGCCTGTACACATACTTCCTTTTTTTTCGTTATTATACGTAATAGTTGAGTAAGTCATTATATCCGCTGACTCCCGTTATGTTTAAGTACAAAATATAATGGAAAGAGTAAAAAAAATTTCGTAAACAATGGCTACATTAAATTACAAGTAGGAATTTAGTGTTATAACGGCATGTAAGTAGGGCAAGTTCAGAATGTATGTGATTACGATTTTTGTACTTCTTCAAACTCATTTGTTTAGTATTCTTGCATGAGGAATTAAAATGAAATCTGATGATATGTAACTGCTGATTACATAAATTTTGATTAACTGGAAATAAAGAAAAAAAACTGTCCGAACAAATTATACTTAAATTCAAATTTAAACACTGCATTTGTATTTTCTGTACTCTTGGTTATTTGTGTTTCCTGTCGAACGTTTGTTAAAATTAAGACATGTTTTAATTCAAAATGTTTAAAATATATCGGCTTATTTTAGGAAAACAGTGGTTGATTGAATCATTCCAACACGTTAACAAACGAGTTGAAAGAAGAACCTTAGTAGCAAAGAGAGCAAACGTAGAAGCTACAAATTCATATAAAAACATTGTAACATCTATTTTCACAATATTTATGACAACGCAAAGTTATCAGTAACAATGCAAATAAACTGAAACCTCGACGATCTTCAAATTTAAAAAAAAAGACATTCCTTATATAGGTCAAGTATCATCAATACATCATGGGGTGTCTGACTTCAGCTATGAATCGTCACAAGTATGTGCCTATTCTCTTTGTAATGACATTGTTTAGTTTTCCCGCACGCGGAGGGATATCAACCTCTCTCTTTAGAACAGCATGTCAGCGGCCGAGCAGCGGATGTTCCTGTGCCACAGACCCTAATGGTCTCTCTGTAACATGTGACGGTAATGGGACATCCCTCTTCCCCTCGGATCTGCCTGCCCCTGCCATTAAAATGTGAGTACTGCTTATAAGTTAAATGTTAAGGATCGCATGATTAAAAAGAATTCAGAGACATTGATGAACCATATATTCGTATGTGAAAAAGTTTCTGAAAATTGTTGTTAATTTGTTTTATGTATGATTTTGCGAGTTTTAACTTTGACTAAACCTCTTGTTTCATTCACAAGTTTATGTGTAATTATGTCAAAAAATTCTTAAAGAAATGTGTGCATCAATAATGAATTCAGTTAACTCATTTCATATTTGTCTACTTTCATTTAATCACAATCATAACTATTTATTTAAACTAATCGATTGTATGGTTTAATTTTTTTTTTCAATATACCATTGAAGTCAGTTTATTTTTTCATGTTCCAGGCATATCTCTGTAGGTACCGTTTTCTATCAATTAAAGTCAATAATATTAAACTGTGGTTTAAAAGTATGAACGGAATCTCTATTTGTTGCAACTGTAGGATAAAAATATTTTTTTTTTTACAAAATTCCTATGGAGTAAATGTGTTTATATTTCCGTGAACTACAACATGTGAAAAGATGTATAATAGTATAAAGCACTGTTTACAGCTGATTTTCAAAACGCAACTTGTACGTGGACAGGGACTTTTTAAATTTCAAAAATATGATTAAGTTTACTATTAAAAACTTCCCATTATTTGTTTATTTCTATGTTTGATTTAATTTTTAGCACTCTACTTGACTATCAAGTTTCTAACCTCAACAGAACAGATTTCTTTGGTGCTGAGAATCTAACGGAACTGTATGTAATCTCCGAAAATGATAGCATTGAATTATCATCATCATATATAATTTAGATTTAATAGATAGATTTGATTCCTTATGTAATAAAAACTTAAATGGACATTGAGCATTGATTTTAATGTTATGCGTACGTATGTGTAATCAAATCTCGAAAAAAAAAATAGTGAAGAAATTGGAATTTTCTCTTGTTTGTTATTTATTGATGAGAACTAAATTATAGAGATTGTCTATCATTATATAAAGTAACAATGTTAAAGTAATGTTGAAGAAAGTTCTTAACGACAGAGATGCTTGTCCACTTTAAATCTTTAAATCCTTAATCAAATGCTCATTCTTTTTCTTTTCTTGCAGGAATATTATAAACTGCAAAATACAAACTTTAGACGAATGGGCTTTTGACCATCTTCAGAACCTGCACAAAATGTAATTAATAATTACAATTTAGGACTCCATATTTATTTATAAGACAAATTGTGTTTTCCTCTGTCTTGCTATTTGAAATTATTTCTATTTGAATTACTAAGTAAAAATTAGTTCAAAGTTATGAAACTGTCCATAAATAAATGTTTCTAATTCTCCTCCCCTTGGTCGCGAAATTTATTTCATTTTGAAGAAAGAAAATTATAATATTCATCAAGATGATATTCATATAGAATCTAAACAACTTCTTTTTTCCTTTCAAAGAAATTTAACACAAAATGAATTATCCGTGGTGGGCAAGTACGATTTTTACCACTTGGTGTATTTGAGAGAGATGTAAGCGTATTGCCATTCTAAAATAATTGAAATAAACAGCTTTCTGGCATAAATAGATGATTGGCTTTTTGTTAAGCCAAATGCTTTTAATTTAACTACATTTAATTCTTTTTACAGTGATCTCAGCCTAAATAAAATCAGCTATATTGCTGGAGATGCATTCTACTCTCTTCATAATTTACGAGACGTGTAAGTATTGCTACAGACTTTATGAATTCCTCTGAACATTTACAAATTGAAATCCAGCCTTCTACAGTATTCACATTTATAATGTATTTGTATTTGAATACAGCAATGAGACTTGTTAAATAGTATAAACAAGTTTACGTCCAATCAAAATCTTAAGAAACATGACAATGGGCTTCCTGACACGATTTTGTGCAATATGTAATGATGTAAAAGTTACACACCATAATTGTAATGATATTGGAATTAGCACATAATTCTATGATGCACTGATAAAACAATCAACACATAGTCCTATGTTTTTAATGATGATGCAAGTAACAAACTTTATTTTACCCCCCATTTGTAAAGAGGAGGTATATAGTAATAGTGGGTGTCGATCCGTACGTCCTTCCGTACGTCCGTAACACTTGGGGGTACCACTAAATAAAATTTAATAAGATTTTCAAAGAATCTTCTTTATATACTGTCATTGTGCACCTCTTATGTATTAGTTTGTTCTGACAGATATTTGGGGTTTCAAAAAGCAAACATAGACACTGTTATTCTTTCTCTAACATTTAGGGTACCTATTTCTTATCGGCAACTCCTCCTATACCACTGAATAAAATTTAATGAGACTTTCACTGAATGTGGATTATATAGTGCCATTTTGCACCTCATATTCTTCATTTTGATCGGACAGAGATTTGGGGTTTCCAATAGCAAATCATGGACACTTCCATTTTTTCTTTAACATTGAGGGTACTCATCTCTTATCTGCAACTCCTCCTATACCACTAAATAAAATTTAATGAGACTTCAAATGAATCTTTATTACATAATGCCTTTGTACAGCTCCTATATTTTGTTCTGATCGGACACATATTTGAGGTTTCCTATGGCCAAAAAAATGGACATTGCCATTATACTCATACGAGAGCAGGATATCATTTTGTGAGCTCAGTGCTCACAGTACCTCGAGTTTTGATTGGCATGATAATAATTAATGTGAGATGTGATTTCAGGTATTTGTTTGGTAACCCACTACATTGTGATTGTGAGATGCAAAGATTCCTGAATTGGATCAACCTTAGAAAGGAAAATGTATCAGTGGTGAATGCTCTGTGTGCAAACAGCAACAACACGCTTCTCAATGAAACGAAAGATTTTGGAATATGCCAAGGTGAACACAAGGCAGCATAGACTAAAAAGTAGTAAATGATACATGTATATAGAAAGCCAAGAAAAGAAATTTGCAAATTTAAATATTGATACTTTCACTTTTAAAAAAGAATGATCGTATACCAATAACAAGCTACGTGTACTGCTTTACATTCACATATTTCACATTGTTCCGAAATCACTCTTGTTACCAGTGTAGTGGAGGTAAATCCCACAATGATTGTATGAAACAATCCTGTGTCACAGATCAGGTAAACATTATCGTGGCTAACAAAATCATTCATTTTTCTGTTTTGATAATTATCTTACATTTGGAAATGATTTGTTTAGAGTGTAGTCTATGAAACCATTCTCTAATCTTTAGATTCAAGTTACTGTAGCCTTTTAACCATTGGAACTCTGTCCATTTAGGCATATTAGATCCTCAGACTGAGAAGTTCTTATAGAAAGAACATTAAAAAACTCGGTATCATAAAAACGGAACAATCCATGAATGATTAGAGGAGATGCATTATTCGAATAAGCATCACCAAAAAAAAGGGAGCAGGGTTAATAGAGATGAATAGACATACAGAAAGCAACTATGCCAAAAACCATTTAGCCATTTCCATTAAGGAATAAATGATAAGTACTAGTATATGTAGGTCAGTTAAAAAGACGATTTTTAACAATTAAGTTTTAGATGAGCTTCAATACATGCTTTTCATGCATTCCCTCAACTGGGAGGAGACATATGGGTTTATTGTTTGGTTATCTGTCTCCCTGTCGCGCCATATAACTCTCCAACATTATTGGAATGAGTTCACATCAGAAAATATTCATTGCTATGCTGCTTTTTCTTGATAATAAACTCAGTATTGCTTGCATTGGGTTTAAGGATTTATATATTCTTTTGATAAGCTGTACATGTATAAGTAATTTGAATCCTGTACATTTCAAGACAAATGTCTTATTTTGGTATCCATATTCTGATACGAGTTATATTTATTTGTTGAAGGTTTGTTTTTCTCGGATGATATTCGCAGATGACAGCATTTCTTTTTACAAGGGATGTACGTCTGATGCAATTTGTACCAATCAAGAGAAACAAAACGTACACAGTTGTTACAATTCAAATGGCCTACGTAATTGTTATTTTTGTTGCCTTGACAACTATTGTAATGACAACACACTTGGGAGTAAGTATCATTATCAAATATAGATTATTTGATTTAAGTGGATAATTTTTGTACTAGGCATTCCTGCAGTGTCCTCAAAAGTTTAATTTTATTATAATTTAGTTATTTCCAAATGAAGAAATCTTTCCAGGTTTTCTTCTATGGCATGTCAAACGTTGCAATATTCGATCTTTTCTATTTATCTTGTACAATTTTCCATTTGTATTCTATAATTTCCCATTTGTATTGTATATTATTTTTATTTGTGTTCTATTTTTTCAATCTGTATTGTAAAAAATCATTTGCATTGTATAATTTCTTACCTGTATTCTATAATTTTTTATTTGTATTCGATAATTTTTCATTTGTATTGTATCCGATAATTGCTTATTTGTTTCGTTACGAAGGATTTCATTGGTCAAGTTTGACAGTATCGTGTTGAAATCGAACGAGATGTTCCGGGTGCTCAAAGCAAACTGGGCCCCATTATATATATGCATGAATGTTAGGAATGTTTTTTCTTCTATTCCTTGGTCATCTTAGAAAGAAAGAAATATATATATTCTGTTCTGTGACAGCATGAAAATAAATAATCCCCTAATAAATCATCCCCTAACATGCACGCAAATAAAATAGGAGCCCAAGAAACATCTCGCTCGTTTTCAACACGATGCAGTCAAAAACTTAATCAATGAAATTCTTCGTAACGAAACAAATAAACAATCCCTCGGATACAATTTAAATGAAAAATATTCGCATACAGAGAAGAAATTTTACAATACAAATCAGAAATCATACAATGCAAATGGAAACTATAGAATATGAATAAAAAGATATACAATACAAATGGAAAATTTTAGAATACAAATGAAAAATTATAGAATACAAATAAAAATTATACAATTCAAATGAAATATTATACAATACAAATGAAAATTATACAGTAAACATGGAAAATTTTGGAAAACAAATACAAAATTATAGAATACAAATAAAAATTATACAATTCAAATGGAAAATTATACAATTCAAATGGAAAATTATACAATACAAATGAAAATTATACATTTTTTTATACTTTGGTTCTTTCTTTGGCAATTTTGGGACAAATTTCTCGTACATTTTCATGAAACGTTGCCTTACTTAAACGAAAGTGTTTTCTAAAATCAATTTCAGTAAATTGTGGATCTGTACCTTCAAAAAATTTTACAACTGTTGGTATATTTTCTCTAACGATGAATTGACTTAATAAAAACTGAATCACAACGTCGTCAGTATCATCGAAACCATGCTCATTTACTTCAGTAAGTTCATTATATAGCGATAAATGCTGTTTAAAGCGCTTTTCCTGGGTTCAAACCCGCCATATTTGAACAAACACTAAACAACACGAGATGTTTTATTTTGATTTCTAGAGTTCACCCAGTAAGCATGCGCATATTGAACACTAGTGTGACACGGATTGTCTTAATCGAATACATTCTTATATTACTTAGGATACCTGTAAACGTTTTGTTGAATGTCAGTTTTTTATGACTAGGAGTTGTTTTTCACCCAAATTGTTTGTGCAAAGTCTTGGTAGATAATGTATATCTTGTGAATGACTTATCATCTGAAATAATATTCCTTTAACAATTGATTTATTTCAAACAATACTTTAACTCTAGGAAGAACAAAAGAGATCTTGTTTTACATCCCAGTGACTATGGCTGAGTTAAATTCTTCATATTTCTCTCTGGGTTATAATACTAGTATTACAGCCTCGCTAGATAATGTGAGTAAATTCCTCAAAAATAAATACATTTGATACTCCTTCTGACAGAAACAATTACATCTATGCATAATATTTTCTCAGTTTTAAGCTATAAGTTAATAGGTTTTCTTTCGTTTTACATGATCAGCAATTCAATTTGCAATGAGATTGATTTTAATTTTTTATTTAATTAATTAAAAGTAAGGAATGTCATTATAAGGTATAGAAATAACAAAAATATGGATTTGCAAACAGAGGAAAGGAAATATACAGAATATTTAGGTTTTTGCAGATGCGGAAAAGAATTCTGTCCAATTTTAACAAGAGCAGTTGCTTCTTTTCGAGCGGTGATATTTCTGTACAACATGTAGGGTATGTGAAATATTACTAACCAGCAAGTTAAGTATAAACTGACGTCCTTAAAGAATAAATCACTTGTATGGTCTGAGCGAATTTGCTTACTAGTAATTTCAAAATGTTAGTTTTGCACGTCTGATATCATTGCCACAAGGTGATATCGTCGAGCTCCATTCTTTGCAGTCCACCACAGTTCACCATCCATTTCAAAGCTTCCTGTACAACGTTAAATGAGTATAAAGAGAAAGATATCACAGTCGGATTAGATATATATCTGAAAAGCTTGCCCACAAATTCTGGATTTCCACAGAAAATAGTCAACATCAGTGTTTACCTCGGGGGTAATTTTTTTTATCTTTAAAGAGGATAATTGATCAATTAGCAGAAAAAGATCCTCAATTCATCATAAAAGCAGAATGATTTTCAAGAAATGCAATTTCATTTGTTTTTCCAATAACTCTTTTGTAGTTTTAATGGACTTTCTTTAAAGAAATTATTAAAATTTATTTGTTGTAAAATTGGAATATATAAGGTATTGTATTCGCCTTCTAAGGAATTTCGGCTTTTGATAGAAAAAAAATTCTCCAATTCGGAAATATTCAAACAGAATGCAGCATATTTCTTTTTTGATTTGAAGGAGCTGGTGTCTGTGAGTCTGAGAGGACAGGAAATTACGTCATAAATGGTGTTTGGCCTGCCACTCAGTATGGGGATACAGCACAAATCTACTGTGCGGACAACGTTATCGTAACACGAAATTGGTGAGTTCACTGTACTCACTTTACTATTGATATTTCTTTCGTTTTTTTAGTTCAAAACAAAAGGTACAAATTTGTCACGACTTTTTTTTGCCCGTCTTACATACGTATAGCATCTAACATTAACATTATATGTTTTTGATTTGTTTGTAAAATAGAAACATAGATACGAGGTGAACGTTTTCTTGTTCTTTTGATAGGTACTACTTTAAACCAACTGGAAAGTTAATTATAAATTGATGGAATCCTTTTTATATTTTTAAATTTGTTGTAAAAACTGCAGCACAGAGTATGGCTGGTCACCTCCTCCAAATAGCACTGAATGTTCCATAAAGCAAGCAACAACTATCACTCCCAGCACAATCTTCACGACAGCCACTCCCAGTCTGCCGTCCTTAGAGGAGATCTCTGAACGTATTGTGGATGACGGTAAGTAACGGATGTATGTCTCTGTCGTGATCGAGGTATTGTTTTATGATACATTAAAACCTGTTTAATCGAGACCAACTGGTTCCATTGAAATTGGCCGAATAATACAACATTCCGGATTAAACAACATTTTTAACAATTGAATTTACTGAAAGGGACTTAAGTTTACATCGTGTTAGGTAAGATTTCGGAATACACAACATCCGGTTCAGAAAAAATTTCACTGTATTGGCATTTTAACATTGGTTAAGAAAAAAAAATAATGACAAACATTCTAGAGGTTATTTCATATGTGAAATGTTTATTAGTTAGGACAGTTAATAAGTATAGGATATATGTTATTTCAGAATCCGCAGATGAAATTGCCGAACAGCTATACAAGCAAACTGTGGAGGCAGATAAATTTACAGACAGAGAAATAAACATAACAATTTCTCTGCTGGAGGAACTTGAAGGACTCCAGAGCACGTTCATAACAAGAGACAGAGAAAGAAATATCGTAAAAATAATGAGTAACGTCCTGAGTACTACAGAGACACAGTTCAGTCTCTCGGAAAAGAGGTTTAAATCCGCCAGCAGGTGCGTGATTTTTAGACTAGATTTTTAGCGTAGAAATAATATATATACTGGAGCGACTTTATGTTAAACTAACATAGACAGTAAAATATAGAAACTAAAATAGACACTCAACATCAAGTAGAATAGTACATGTTCATGAATTATCATTATAAAATAATTAGCAGAACACACCAATCTTCAGATATTATTTTATTCTTAATTTTAAGAAAAACTTTAACAAGGATGTTTTCATAGGAGTTTTCAAAAAATTATGCATTGCATTAATTGACATATATTGTGTGGTTTATTTTTTTAACCCATCTGTGTTTGACTTCACATTTTTGATGAATATAGTAACTTTCTTTAATTTTTTTGTTACATATTGCTAGATGAATGTGGTTACTTTCTCTTTTTGTTACAAATTGCTACATGTAGATGAATGTTGTTACTTTCTCTTTTTGTTACATATTGCTAGATGAATGTGGTTACTTTCTGTTTTTGTTACATATTGCTAGATGAATGTGGTTACTTTCTGTTTTTGTTACATATTGCTAGATGAATGTGGTTACTTTCTGTTTTTGTTACAAATTGCTAGATGAATGTGGTTACTTTCTGTTTTTGTTACATGTTGCTAGATGAATGTGGTTACTTTCTCTTTTTGTTACATATTGCTAGATGAAGTAGTAACTTTCTTTATTTTTTGTTACAGATTGCTAAATTCTGTTCAGAAATTATCAAACTTTACGAACATACTAAAAGAAGATTTCAAAGAAATTGCTTCGAACATAGGTATAATAGCAACATCTATAAACAGCACCGATTTTAATGGAATATCTTTGGCCTCTTTGGACCTTCCTAGCGAGGAACTAAATCTGTCAAAGGTAAGGAGGTCATTTTGCATTTTGTTTGGTTCGTTGCTTTGTTCTCTTTGAAATTCAAGAATTGTTTGAATTCAAGAGATTGTTTCAAATTTTTGTCAATCAATGTCAGAAAATGTTAAAAAAGCAGCTCGCTTTAAATATTTCTTCAATATATTTTTTATACTTTAAATGGCCTCCAGCTAATATTGACAAAGAATGGTACCGTTCAATCGGACTCTGTATCTTGGATCATTCTTCCTAGGCAATTAATATCTGAGTTACCGTCTAACACAACACCAACAAGGGTAACACTGACAGCTTTTAAAAACGACAGAATATTTCGAGTAAGCCGTTTTTTATCTAATTTGGTCGTACATGTATCCACATTGGATAAGATTTTTCCGTGTCCTATAGTTCATTTATAGTTTATTGTAGTTAGCTTTGATTTATATCAGAATAAACTTAGTCTAGTACTATGATTTAATAAAACTATGATACTTTTCTTTGACACTTTGATTTACTAGGATACATATGTACTTTACTCTAGGATATTTTTTTTTATAAATATCGAGAGCATTTAATTATCATCTCTGCATTCTATATCAACTATTATTACTGAAGACATAATATTTGAATATGATATTTTGATGCGAAAATGGCTTTTTAGAATTTTTAAAAATAAATGGAATGTAGCAAATTGAATTTCTTGATAAAAACTTGTTTATTCTCTAGAGGTTAAAGCTCTTTAAATTTTGTTTACTGTAGGAAAAACATTCTTTTTTTGGATTTTTTTAAAAGTAGAAAACTTTTATTAAAATGTTTTGTTTTGGCAAAACCTTTCATACTTTGATTGGCTTGCGTAAACTTTTGTTCTATGCATTATGTTTTGCTAGGTTTTCCCATTTTATATAATAATCAAGTATCAACTAGCTTGTTCGTATTCTAAGGCAATACGCTCAAACGCAAAAGGAGATCCCCATACGGTGGAAGGAATTATATATCGACTTCAACCAAACAGCATTATTCTGGCAGTACAAGTTCCCGGTGTCCATGTGGATAAACTAGTTAATCCAATAGAAATGAGATTTCAACAGAATGCCAAGGTGTGTTCATTTATCTGTGTTACAGTAAACATTATTTTAAAACAAAAGTGAAATAGTTATGAAAAGGGTACCAAATATGACTAATCATAGCAAGACAACTTATTTGCAAGTCAAAAACGAGGTAAACAGTTAATTAGATATGTATACCCATCCATGCACTTTGTTGAGTTTTATAAAATCTACTCATGTTTCCTTTCATTGAAATTAATACTTTTTTATGAAAGCAAATCCCTAATTCCTGATCTGGCATTATCTTTATGAATATAATTAGATGAAGATAACGAACAGTGATCTAAAAATCCAGCTACTCTTTACTGATTTCTTTAATAGTACATGTGATTTGGTATGATGTTAAGCCCCAGTCACACATTCCTGATTCAATTCAAGATCATCCACGACTTTGTGTCGTCTTATAAATCAAGTAAGTTCACGGTAAAAATTGGGCATGGCAAACTATTCTTACGGTGAGGCTACAATCATTCTAGGCACAGTAACGGTATGACGGCATCATGTAAATAAATATCACGTTTATCACGTTCATATCGACTTTGGTACAAACTGATACGGTAACATGACGTTCTTCAAGGGATAGAGTACAATTACTTTAGGTTCATTAAAGATTCAGGGCTATTGTACTACGGACTCTGACGAATTTACTGTGTTTATTTTCGACTTTACAACGTTTAATCACGAATTGAAGACGGCAAAGAAATCAGTATCCTTGTTAAGGAGATATATTTTTAATTATATGTTAGTAGCCTAGATTGGAACAATTTTCAGTCACTTCTGTGGTTACTGCATTCCAATATAATTGTGATTAACCGATCCCTGCTCTCTCCTACAGAGTTCACACATGATTAACAAAGTTAGAGACATAAGCAGACATGCCAACGCAAAGGTCTCAAGGTGAACGAACCTCATCATCCCGGGCCCAAAGATAGTCAGAGCAAAGTGAATCAATGAAAACTACAGGGATGAAGACGTAGGATATAATATTTAGGTCTTGTTCTTTTACATTTTCTGTGCCTCTTCAGAAGATCTGAATACTGTCTATTACATCATCAGCTGTACAATGAAGCAACTTCAAACACAAAAAAGAGCTGTATTGCTAATTAGTAATGAACAAGGAAAAAGAGAGACATTGCTAATTGGTTGAAGTCTTACCACTTCCCTTTAAAAGGGTTTAAGTGATTAAAAGGACACTGCGAGAAAGACTTCTTTATGGAACAATAACTTGAAACCACGTGTACTACGACGGTGGTGTTACGACAAATCACTATTCAGCAACGAATAAACTACGGTAGAACTACGAGTTTTATCAATGCTGTCGATGTCATGACCACTCAAGGCATCAAAACAATCGTAAACGTTGTCGAATTTGATCGGTTTTTACCGATCAGTCAGGGTAAGCCTACGATTCACAAGGTTTCAACATGATCATAATTGCGTTCTCAAGCGATGAGGAACGTTAGGCCAAATCGTGAGTGGTCGCGAAGCCAAACTGGGACAGTGTGACTGGAGTTTTATTTTATGAATGAAACTCAAACCTTTGGATTTCTTTAATTTTTTCTCTAACACGAGGTCTTTTCTTGCTTTTCCTAATTCTATGAGGATAAGGATGTATAAAAAATATTTGCAAATTGAAAGTTAAGCAGATTTTTTTTTCATTTATTGACTATGAATACATGTAAATCTTTTAGACCACAGAAAATGCAACTGCAGCTTGTGGGTATTTTCTTGATGCGGGTCCTAACAAAGGCTATTGGTCAAGCGAAGGTTGCAAGGTCAAAGTTCACTTACCAGGAGAATACACAGAATGTCAGTGTGACCATCTCACGAACTTTGCCTTGTTGATGGTAAGGTCTGAAACTCTTTTCAAATTTCTAGGTCTTCATAACCGGCATTTTAGTGTTTTATGTTTTGCTCCTTTTTATTAGTGTAACAGTTGTGATATTTGAAAAACAGAATTTAAGTTCAAAATAGATAAGATAAATAAAAACTTTTCATTTGACTTATTATGTGTTGTATTTTGATTGTATGTATCATAACTAACTTTTTTCATCAGGATATGTACCGTGTTGGAGGAGATATCAGTGCAGTCAATAAGATGGCCTTGACCTATTTGTCTTATCTGGGTTGTGGAATCTCCCTAATAGGCCTCGTTCTGACCCTTCTCACATACTTCATGTTCAGGTAGTTGCAATGAAAAAAAAAAACAGTCAGTACGTTAATAACGTACTGCATACAAAATTGCATCCAATTTCATACACTGCAATCCAAATTGATAAGATTATTTTGTTACAGAAAATTACGCAGTACCAACCCAGGAAAAATATTAGTAAATCTTTGTATTGCCATTACTGCCACAGACTTGATATTTCTGGTTGGTCAACAGGAATACACCCTGAAGAGTGACATAGGCTGCAAGGTAAACAAATCATATACAGGTGCGAGGTTACCGAATACTATACAAGTACACTGATTCAAGGACACCAATTAATATACAGGGTTCGAGGTAACTAAATAATACGCAGGATCGAGGTAACCAAATAATATGCAGGATAGAGGTAAGCAAATAAAATATTTGATTTCAAGGTAACCAAATAATATACATGATCTTAAGCAACCAATAAAAAATTTCTCTCCAGAAGAGCTGGGCCAATGTCAACGAATCTCGACACAGAGCAAGAAGTAGGATAAGGGGAAGTCATACGAAAGCGCAATATTCGAAATCGGATAAGCCTTCGAGGCTTTGATAAGGCCAAAAATAGGGTTTCAAAAATATAGACAAAAAATTTCGAAAAATGTTTTTTTCAAAGAAGTTTTGAGCATAATCCAATGAAATCAGTTGTATTCATATGAACACTGGAGCTGCAGGGTGGAACAACTGTTTGTGAATGCTGTGACTCATAACTTATTTGTAGATTGCTGGTAGAAAAAAATAACTTACATTAATATTATTGGCGGTTTATTTTTCCAGATTGTTGCTGCCTCTCTTCATTTTTTCCTTCTATCTGCCATGTGTTGGATGTTAATAGAGGCTTACTATCTGTATGTTGCTCTGATTCAAGTGTTCAACACGCACATTTCACTATTTATTTTGAAGACAACTTCCGCCGGATGGGGTAATCCTCCATGATATCAAACTGATTTTAAGTCTTGCATTTATATTTCTTTCTTATGGATAATAAATCGTCTCTTTATGAAGTACATACTTTTTTTCAATTAAGGTACACCTTTGATAATTGTTGCTGTAACACTAGGTGTGAATATAGAAAACTACGGTACTCAGGGAGGAGGAATGTAAGTGATACATAAAGGAAAATAGAACATTTGTACTCATGTGTCAAATACTATGTACTTATATTTGTTTAAAATCAGATGTGTTAAGATTAAGCACAATTTATAGAAAATTTATCTTTAACTTTGCAATAGTGACATACTTCTGTTTAATGTCACGATAAATTATTCCTCTTTGAGCCATTCAAATTATCTTGTAGATGTTGGTTGAATCCAATAGCATTTTACGCTGCCTTTCTTGCACCTGTTGGTGTAATTATGATTATAAATCTTATAATATTTGCCATGGTTCTCCATCGACTTTCTGGAGCGGCCTCAAAAAACCTTAACAAGTCAAAAGCCACGAAAACATCATCGCGCCTGCGCAGAGCAGCAACTTTAGCTGTCATGTTGGGACTGACATGGCTGTTTGCTTTTCTGGCCTTCGATGGAGGGGCACCAGTTTTCCAATATCTGTTTACAATTTTCAACTCTCTTCAAGGGTTATTCATCTTTGTATTTCAATGTTTGCTGAAGGCGGACGTTCAGGAGGCCTGGAAAAGAGCTTGCTGTGATGGTTTTGAAGACAAGATCTCCAAAACATCCAAAGGTTAGGATATCATATGGTTTATAATAAAGCTGTATCTGTTCTAGTTATATATAATGTTTTTATTTGATTGGATTTAAGCTGCAAAACACTCTTTTATTTGGATTTATGGGCTTGGTTTCACATTGGCCTGAAATTAAATATGCCAAATTTCATTTACCCAAAGATTGTGTATGCATTCATATAAAATCTACTTGTTAAATCTTGAACAGAACAGTTAAAACATTAACAAGCAAATTTCATACACCCCCCAAAAATGTAAGTTTTCATAATTCCACAGATTTTCCCAGCAGTAGAGATGACAAATCTACAGTAGCTTTGTCAAACATGGACGTCAACGCCAGACAAAGAGGTAAGAGTATACATAAAACATATATCTGACTCGATCAAAGCACATTTATTGATTAACTTTGTAAAACAATATAAGAGGTACTTAATATAATGTTAAGCTGACGTCAACAATTTTCTTACTATATATTACAGAGAAAACAGGAAGTGACGTAGCCAACAAAAACCATGACAAAGAACACGCAGCACTGCTTATGTCTCCGACTTCGTAAAACAGACAAAATCATTGCAGGAGAGACTTCAAACAAAACGAACAACTGTTTGCTTTCAAATCTTGTTTTGAGACAATAGAGATCGTTTTCTTTAAATGAACAAGAATTCTCTTTTCATCTCAGGCATTTTACATGCATCGACATTAAATTAAAGTTTTATACCAGTAATAAATAAACATTGTTTGCATGTTTTATAACATATTTGCATTTACTCTGTTTCCTTTAAAATTATTTTGTTAAAAAAGATTCTGATTGTACACACAAGTACTCTGAAGTTGATATTAAAAAAATGCTTGAGTTTTTGATTGACAATATCTATGTGGTTTTTGGAGACCAGGTCTTTCAACAATCTGTTGGAATTCCCATTGGTACCAATTGCGCCCCATTATTAGCAGACCTTTTTTGTATTCATATGAAGCAGACTTTGTTCAAAATCTTGTACATGAAAAGAAGAAATTACTTGCTGTGGCTTTCAACTCGATATTTAGATATATTGACGACGTATTGTCAATTAACAATGGTTATTTCCATTCGTATGTCGATACGATATATCCCTGTGAGTTTGAAATAAAAGATACCACAGAGTCTAACACATCTGTTTTATATTTGGATATTTTACTAGAAAAGACAGTAATGGTAATCTAACAACTAAGCTTTATGATAAACGTGATGACTTTAACTTTTCAATCGTCAAATTCCTTTACTTATGCAGCAATATACCTTCATTACCTGCATACGGGGTTTATATCTCTCAGTTGATTCGATACGCAAGAGCATGCTCTACGTATGAACAATTTTTAAAACGAGGTAAGTTATTGACAAACAAGTTGATGAAACAAAAATATCAGCAGTCTCGTTTAAAGTCATCATTTCGTAAGTTCTGTGGTCGAGACAATGACCTTGTCAGCAAATACAATTTATCATTAAGTCATACCAATTGTTTGGCCATTATTTACACACTGAATTGTCGACGGATTTTTCCGTTATTACCCGATCATGACAAGGAACACACGGCGGGTGTGACCGGTCGGCAGTGGATGATCACTCCTCCATGGTACCTGATCCCACCTCTGATGTTTTAGAGGTCCGTGTTTGCTCTGCTCCAAAATTTCTATTGTTTAATGGACTTTTGAGCTTGATTACTGTTCGTTATCTTCATACATTTCACTCCAATAATTTTTTTAGATAATTTAAAAAAAAATTGTGTGCCAAGTATTTTCTTTATCGATGTACCTGTTAAGTGTTTGACCTTTTCCCTTCTTATTCGTCTTTTCGTATTCCACGTGCTGCTTTTGAAAAATGACGAACTGATAAAGAGTCACGGAGAATGTTTGACAATCATACCAAAAATCTAAATACATGTATGGACAGAAATGGTTGCGTCGGTTTTTTTTATTATTACTATTTCAGCCAAAACTGTAGTGATTCTGAACATTAGAAAATTTTTAAAACCTGAGATCTAAAAAAGGGGAATATAAGTTAATCACAATGCAGTTTGGCGAGATCAACATTTCTATCTGTATATACATGTATAGTACGAGCGGAACATTGAAATAAATTTCGAGCGGAAATAACGTTGTTGAGCAAACTAGCATTAGTTTTTGTCCTAGGGTCAACAGACATTAGTGTTGTGAATCACCAGCCCTGGTTATTGTCTAAGTGATCAGCTGATAACAGAGGAGTTTACCATTAAATCTGGTAACTGTCTTAGTGGTCAGCTGATATCAATGTAATGGACCATGACCTCTACGTATTGTCCTAATGGCCAGCTGATATCAGTAAATATTGTGCCAATGGTCAGCTGATATCAGTGAAAATTGTGCTAATGGTCAACTGATATCAATGTAATGGACCATGAGCTGTACGTATTGTCCTAATGGTCAGCTGATATTATATAAATAGTGCACGTTTTTGAGGGTAACAGTTGAAATTGACACCCCAAGGAAAACCATTGTCAACCGACGCGTCAGCGGAGGTTGACAATGGTTTTCCGAGGGGTGTCAATTTCAACTGTTACCCTCAAAACGTGCACTATTTATTTTATTATACTGAATGACTTATTGATTTCGGATGTCATAAAAAAATTCGGAGATCGTCATTAAGTTCACGCTTAGAAAGCTTTCAAACTCCCCGCTTCTATTTTTCTCAATAAGAAAGCTTCGGAAAAGATTTACCAACCTCTCTATTGTTTGTTTGCTACTCAAAAAGTCCTTTATCATCTAAAGTTTGCACTCGCAAGGATGTTTCGTCTGTCGTTTGTTGTTTTCAAGTAAGCTACATCGGACGCAAGCTTTTATTGACGTCGTTTATTCGGCTTCTTTCAAACGCATAACTGACGTTTTGAGAATTCTACGGTGAACCGTACGCGCATGATTTGAACGCATGTGATATTTTCGTAATGTTACCCATTGTCAAGTGTGTTGCTAACACTGAGGGTAACATTACGGATTGTTAAATGCGTCTAAACCAATCAGATTTTAGTATTTAACATGAAAGTATAATAAAAGTGAATAATGTGCTAATGGACAACTGATATCAGTGAATATTGTGGTAATGGTCAGTTGATATCAGCAGAGTGTATATTGTGCTAATGGTCAGGTGATATCAGTGGAGTGAATAATGCCCTAATGGTCAGCTGATACAATTCACAGTGAAGTGAATATTGTGGTAATGATCAGCTGATATCAGTGAAGTGAATATTGTGGTAATGGTCAGTTGATATCAGTGGAATGAATATTGTGCTAATGGTCAGCTAATATCAGTGGAGTGAATACGGATATTGTGCTAATGGTCAGCTAATATCAGTGGAGTGAATATTGTGGTAATGGTCATCTGATATCAGTGAATATTGTCCTAATGGTCAGTTGATATCAGGGGAGTGAATATTGTCCTTATGGTCAGCTGTATCAGTGGATTCAATATTCTCCTAATGGTCAGCTGATATCAGTAGAGTGAATATTGTGCTAATGGTCAGCTGATATCAGTGGAGTGTACCACCGGTTCAGGTTAGTGTCCTAGTGTACAGTGTAACAACAGTTTTGGCTATCATAGCGGTCAGCTGGTAACGGTGGCTAGTACAACCAACTCTGGCTTTGTCCCCGAGGTAGTCAATTCCATCAATTCCTCATTAATTATTTGAAGCGGGTGGACTTCAGCAATTAAAAACTTGTCGTATAGATATACAGAGAGTGTTCAAATAAACAACTTATAATATTTTCAATTATTTCTGTTATTTTACTTAGCATAAAAGATCTTCAATATAGATAAAACAAGTGCATCAATGAATAACAATAACTGAAGAAACATGTGTCTTAAAAACGGATCAAAAAAAATAACAAAGTCTCCTACAGACACTTATGATCTTTGTGTGTAGATGTTGGATTTTGTCTGTTCCATCATTTCCATATTCTCAGCTTTATTTAGCGGCAGGTATGTCAAAAGTTTCAGGTCCTCGTTATCGGAGTGATATTCATTGTCTACGTTAGTACCATCACGTAACATTTTATTCCCACTTTGTTGTGATCCATGCGCTTTGGCACTGTTGGACAAAAGTTTAGTTTTCAGTGGATAGTTGGAGTCTGTTTTTGGATTTCTAGTTAGAGAGTTCCTGTTGTTTAGACTCGTGGGTTCTCCTTGTTTGTCGCCCTCCTCACGGGAGACGTTACTTCTTATAGTACTCTTCATATTGTTGTAATAGTACACAAGACTACGCTGGTACTTGGATTTCCTGTGTCCTACACAACAACACAGTGTCTCTTTGAAAGCCTCCCGATATCGCTTGGACATCACGTTATACAAGAACGGATTAACGGTAGATCCAACAAAATACAGAACCCCTGTAACAGATATTCAAAACAATTTTATTTATTTTTTTTCAATGACGATGTTTTTATTTACTAATTGGAAGTTTTTCAAGGTGAAACGTTTTTCTTAACTCTTTTGCATATATATATGTAAGGAATATCCTAGAAAATTGAATCAAACTACAGACCTATTAATTAAAATCTAAACGAATAACAATACATATCAATTTTTTGGTATTTTGAATATAATACTGAGTATAACAAAGTTTCATTCGTAAAGAATGATAGAGTTATCTACCTTACTGACCTGAGATATAAAATAGGTGGCTCTGTACCTCCAGCTCGTATGGCGTCCACAGCTCTCTGTGGTAGATAGTGTACAGTCGTTGTGTGTGGAATGGCGCCCAACAGAAAAAGAAAGCAGCAACCACAGCCACTGCCAAACGAAAATCAAATATATGCTTAATATAAGTTTCTCAAAAACATTTTTCTTGGAAGATTATTTCCTCAGACAAAGAATTTATGAAATCTGAAGCATCAAATATACATAAAAGAAATTCAAAGAAAACTCACCCAACATCCGGACAACTCGTCTGGAATGTGAGGAATGGTGTCCACCGGTCGATTCTTCCGAATTTGCTCTGTTTAATGCTGTACTTCGCAGAGTAATCGCAATTAACACATATAAAATAATAATAGCAGTCATTGGAACAATAAAAAATAGGAATGTTGATATTTGAAACATAATGGTCATTTCAGAAATCCACTGAGACGGAATGTTACACACAAGTGATTCCTGGAGGGGTTTCTTTGTCGAAGGACTGTGTGCGTAGAACAGAGTTCGTGTATGTATTGGGTAGGGTAGGGCGATCACAAACGATATCGTCCAGATACCAATAATAATCATAACAGATCTTCTGAGGTCGGCGATTTTGTGAGACATCAGAGGGTGGCAGATGGCGATGTATCGTTCCACTGTAAATGCTGTGATCGTCAGCACTGAAGCGTATGACGTCATTTCCGTTAGTAAAGCTTTTCCAATACAACACACCTCTCCAAAATTGAATGGGTATGCCTGCCAGATAGAATACGCCTCAAAAGGTAGACCTGTAAAATATTTCATTACGTAGAATTAAATACATTCTAAAATGTTTTGTTACATATTGTTCTACATTATGTCATAATCACCTTCGTTACCACATGTACAAACTCTCTAAGTGAGAAAGTTTGTACGTAATCTAACTCAATGAGAGAATGTTTGACGAAATTAACTTGCACACTAAATCTTCCAAATCTGGAGTATTCTTTTCTGTTCGTAAGGCCTATCAGCCACTTTACATAAAGTAGAAAATAACAAATAGATTTAGATAATCGTAAAAGATTGCCACTTTACATAAAGTAGAAAATAACAAATAGATTTAGATAATCGTAAAAGATTAGACCAAGTTATTCAACAGAAATAAAAATAAAAAGACAGCGGAAATGCTATAGGGACTGACATGAATGCAATGTGACTTAATTGTGCATTTAATCGTACACTCACGAGCACAGGAGGGACATGAAGGACTCCGTTTATCTTATCAATACAGATGGCTCACGTCGGTAGTGACCGGTCGACAGGGGGTGTTTACTTCTCCTAGGCACCTGATCCCACTTCTGGTGTTTTCAAGAATCTGTGCGTATTGCACTGTTTTCTATTTGTATTGTCTACAGGATTTATGAGATACATCTCTGATCATTATCTTCATCTTTTTACATACTAGTATGTCACTTTACAAGGAATCGATTACAAGGCCAACCGAGAGGGGGAAATGGAAAAGAGAAAACGAAGAAAGAAAAACGTCCCAACTTCTCATTTGTCTCCGATAACTCTACCATGCTCATTTAGTGTAATGGACGAGGACATTTTAATAGGCAATAGTCAATTTCAATGAAGTGTTATTATGTATGCAGGCCATCATAGATCAAGTTTGGGGGGCTCCTCATTTACAAGTTTATATTAAAGTCATGAATTGTTATGGATATCCATGATCAGTAGAAGTACATTAAAGACTCGAATCCAAACTTTGTACAGTGATTAAATACAATCTGATGACAGTATAGAAAAGTATCAGAAAAGTGCACTGTAATTCATGTGTAACCACAGATGTCGATTATATATATAAGGCTCAGGCTATCAATATCAAGTTATTACGATCAAGAGGATGAATGATAAAATCTTATATCTCCCAGTACATCCTTAAATACATATAAAAGAACGAAATAATCATAATTGATACATAATCTATAAACAAGGTATTAAGGAAGGCAATAGTACGTTGTTTTTCTATACAGGAAGTACGAAAAAAGTTCGAGGAAAAAAAATAAGGCTAAGTGGAAATATGCCTTCGAAAAACAACATCGTCAACAGGAACGGAGAAACATTTCTATGGCACAATTAAGGTACAATAAAGATACCTAGAATACTATGGCGCTGGTTAATGGTAATCTCTGTGGAGTGTTATTATGCCTGAGTTACACAGAACACAACAGAAAAGCGGACCAGAAAATCTGACAGCAAAATAAAGACAATCTCATTATACAGTCCCTCCTGAGAAATCTAAACACAGGGCTGGAAATCAAATATAGAGGATTATTGTAAAATTATACAGTGCTTTTACTTAATTGTTTTCACGCTGAAAATATTAAGAAACACATAATTCTTTGTCTTTTCATATTGGATATATGACAAATGCGAGTCGAAAATGATTTGCGTCAGATACAATGATATTATATTGTAAAATACGATCATTTTTATGAAAGTCCTTTACTTTATTAACATCTTCATTGATTGCCTCCCTTTTTACTGTGTCCGTATCCAACCAAATGGATATATTTCTTTAAAATCACTAATAACATTTTATGATGTTTTCCCAAACAGGAGGGGGTAATATTGGTTTTGGCCTGGTTGTCTTGTACTTTGTACCTCTTTCACAAGAAAGTTCAAGGGCTATTACTCTGGAGTTGAATCAAACTGCAGTTTGTCATTGTCCATGATTTAAGTAAAGGCCTTAATCTGAATTTTATTTCAAAGTTCGCGATCACGTTGTAAAAGTTTATACAGTTAAGGTACGGTTATATCTACAGTCAATCAGTAAAGATCGACGGACAATATATAGAGGATGTAGAAACATTTACATTTATTTGGTGTTGTGATAACAACATAAGGGCGGTCAGATGAGAACATAACTCAGATTGGGAAAAGCAAAGGTTCGATTTAGAAGACTCGGAAAAATCTGGAGCTCATCAAAATTTTTCATTCAAACTAAGTTATTTAAAACAGTTTGGTCTTGACAGACCAATGTGTATGGAAGCAAAACAGTGAAACATGAAAGCGAGACAAAAAAAGAAGCTTGACACCTTCTAAAATAGCTGCCTGAGACAACTTCTAAGAGCAAGATGTCCAGATAAAATATCGTATGAAAAGCTGCATACTAGTAGTAGAACAACTGCAGCATAAGTCAGTGACACAATAACATTGAAGGAGTGGTAATGGAGTGGCCATTTACTTACATGTAAGATGGTGAAGGACAGTAGGTCGGCAAAACCAACACCAAGAGGACTAACAAGCAAGAACGGTTACAGCTAGGGTTGAATTTTTGGGCGAGAGCAGCAGCCAGAGACAGAGGCAGGCAAACGAAGACGATAAGTGAGGAGAGGACTATCCAGGTTTTTAGAACTTGTGTCCAATCCCTTTGACATATTGTCAATAAAATATGTTCAAAACAAACAGGTGTGACTATTTACATGTTACAATGTCTCCCTAAATAGAAGGAGGCAGATTGGTTTTGGTATGTTTGTCTTGTAAACTGTCTGTCATCAGATTGTTTTAGGGTTATATTTCTGGAGTTGATCTAAAATGCAATTTGTTGTTGTCCATAATCTAAGGGTATTCAAACTTTTGGGTCATGTATTGTAAAGGTAGTAGTTAATCTAGGGTTATATCTATGTTTCTGACCTAGTTTGTAATGGAAGTGTTACAGTCCTTGCGCCCTAGTCTTGATTCCTATATTCTTAGAATTAGACTTCATAATGATAAGAACTACAAAACGGCGGGATCTCTTTATTTTTGACTTTGACACGGTTTCAGTGTTAAAGAATAAATACTTCAAACACTTACTGGAAAATAAGAGTAATATTGTGTTTTGGAGTTAAAGACATTGACCGAAAAACATAAAATCTAAAACCCACTTAGAAATTCTGGCTATTGTCTCCTTAAGACAAAAAAATTTTAGATATTGGTCTATTATTCCCATGGGACCTCTAAATGTCACCCTACACCATTTTTGTGTCAAAAGATTGAATACCTATCATATTATGAACACGGAGACTCCGAAAAACAGCTTAAGTCAATTCATTCAAAGATCAATCTAAGCATCACTTAATACATAGAAATATTGCCTATATGACACATATATGAGCAATTCATTGTACAAGATTTAACTGTTTCGTAAATTTTAAGATCAGATGATATAATCCTCATTTATTTCTGTATAGCTACTGCCTAGCTGAGAATTACTTTATCTCTGTGCACGTGTCTTTTACATTTAAGCACTGGACAATTTATGGAAAGTTGTGAGTAGTTGTCAACCAGAAATGTGTATAAAACATCACTTAGACATATGGACAACTTTAATTTTAATATCTGATAGATTCATTCCTGGATATTTTTTGAAAATACCATGCTCTATTATATATGATATCTTTGGAAATATTATCATTTATTTTCTGAAACTAATATCAAATCCTGGATTCTGACTCTTGAGTACCTTTGGGGGGAAATATTGCGAGATGATACTTAAATTGATCAACATATGCAAAAACTCTCTAAATTAATCCTTTAAATACATATATCCTACTTTTGATCAAAATGATCAAAGCCATGTTGGAACATTGTCCCAGCTGATTAATAAACTGTTGGGTACACATATACAAAGTTACAGTTGGTGATAAAACTTCATACACAATCAGATGAAGTTTCCTGACGCGCATCGTGTTTAACACCTAAAAATAAGTTTCGGGCAATTTTTATTTCATTTGAAGAACAAAACATAAAAATTCGATGGTCTGAAAACGATGATCATGTCGGCTGTAAACAACAAACATGATTTGAGTATTTACAAACAACCTTCCCGTGTTAGTGTTGTCTCATATTTGTATTTCATTGATGACTGAGAGGTAACGATCAGAGAAAGTCGGGAATCAACAGGTCGTAAATAAAACGTAAAGGTGTAGATAAAAGATATATTCATTCAGGTGTCATAAGTGTCTAGTTACAAATATTGACAGGTAGATCCATATTAAGGGCAGGTAAATTACGACCTCAGGTCCTAGAAAGAGTTCATGAGTTCATACATTTTGAATTTGCTTTTATAGGTGACAGTGTCGTTCTCAATAAGGTTATTTTTAAAAGTATATTAATGATAGAATAATTTTATTATTAATTACTTCAGAATTAAAAAGTAGCTACAATGGTATGCATCTGGCCTAGGTTTCTGTGATGAGATGGCCATTACTCAAAAGAACAAAGAACCCCCTAAGGATTTAGGAATAACGCCCTCTGTGCCTCTACTCTAAGAATGCCTTTAGAAATTGCATAATGAACATTAATTATATCCAAGTCGTATTTCTGTTTTCCATAGACAATCCCTTAGTAATCGCAATGTCTACAAGAGTAACCTTGAGTCTATGCTGTTCTATAATTACGGCTTCTAAGACGAATAGTGGAGCTGTTTGGAATCTGGTACGACTTGATCTGTTGTAAAGGGCGCTAATAAGACGTCATATAGGACTATTAAACCAACCACTGTTTTTATCAGCTGAGTGACTAATTTTACCGATTTCTGGTTTCCAAGAGATTCGTTCTTTGATCGTTTTTGCATCAAAAATATGCCAGATATATATTGAATAATCACACGCAATATATTACGTTTTAATGTTTCTGTATCATTTAATGTTTGTAATGGTGTAGCTGTTGATACGCAGATGTCAATGCTTACCCAATGAGAAAGCTATAAGAAAACTTTTTTTCAGATCTGTATTCATTATAAATACATGTATTACGTATAAAGTTTCAAAATGTCAGTCTTCAGATAGATTTCTAAAATGAAATAAGCCAATGGTCTCGCCAATAGTTAACTGTCATAGTGACATTTTAACGTTATTATTTTTTATATTGGTCCACATCCATGGACTTTAAAGTTGTAAAAATACCTCTACAAGTTACAATATAAATACAATGTGCATATACGTATATGAGATCATATGACTTCATAAAAAATTACAGCCTGTATTCAAGCCTAAAAGCCTAAACACTTTATTTCAAATATTCCAAAACGTTAGCTGATCATATGCATGTATATTTATACTTTTTAATCACAATGATATTTTTCTACCTGTAATATACTACGTTAATGTACTTTTTCTCTTGCAAGACACAAAAATAATTTTATACATTACTTTCAAAGACGACAGAATCATACAATTAAATTGAATTAGGTGAATTTCAAACTCATGTCCATCATTTGAGGTTAAGAAACGCCAGCACGGTATTGATGCGTCCAAATCAAACTTTAAATTTGCTTTTCAAAAATTTTTGACCTGACAAACGCGTTAAAAATAATACCTGCGTTATTTCTGGACTTCTGTTCTAATTTTTTCATGAAGTCAAACATATTCTTAAACTTGCAAGGAGGAATTTTGCTGGACATGTATACTTTAGGGTAGATGTGTAATGATTACGTTGTACAATTGTCCGTGGATAAAACGCTAACGACCATTAGTATTTTACTTCCATTTAACTGGGTACTAAAAAGAATAGTTATACTCCTCCATGGCACCTGATTCTTCCTCTGTTTTCAGAGATCCGTGTTCGCTGTGCTCACAATCCATTGTTTAAGGACATACGCAATGTACCTAACCTACTGATAATTTTTCAAGATATTCTTAATTTAAGATTATAATGCCATCAGATGTTCCTAGACAAAAAAATCAGCATGCATTACCAGGGGTTTTGAAAAGATATCAACTGATGAAAAGTCTTGAATGATTCAAAGAAAAATATATTAAAATTACTAAATATATATTCTAGATTTTTTTAAATCCAAATTTGATTTCGAAGAAGTGTACAACACCATATATAGACATAAAAAAAAATATAGCACACAGTTCCTTCAAGTATTGGAACTCTTCAACTCCATGGAAAATGGCAGTAAAGTTCAAACTACGTTGCGTATGTCCTTAAATGGACTTTTGAGCATGATCACTGTTTGTTATCTTCTCACTTCACTGGATAGTCCGAACATTGCAAGTCCGAAAGTCTTGCTACCTAAATACGTTTGCTCGTCTTGACATCAATGCTACATCAAACACTTTTTTAAGAACACCTCAGAGGGGTCTTTATCGTTTAACTTAAAAATCATAATAAAAATATCATTACTGATTATATCAGTCAAGAATGATTATCGATAAGTTTTCTAACATCTTAAAAGTGCAACAAATGATTATTTGATAAATATTGATTCTTGTACAACACAGAGACAGTTAGGACTGTCAAGCCATGTAATTGTTCGCTCCTTTTGACGGGAACAGGCGCTAGTTACATCTTCTCATGACACGATTTTGATGCACGATTTAGTATAACATCTTTGTAAAACTTTTTAAGGGCAATGAAGTCATTTCATTCTTGAACTTGTAGAAGTATTGCCTATTTTTTAAGCTGTTTAATAAACAATTAACAAGAGACAACCAGAAAGCCAGAATTTATTTTGCTAATTAGATGTCGTTTGGGGCATAGGCCAATTCTCGCTTGATTTCTTCCTTCAGACAATTTTAAATACCAGATCGGCTATCACCATAATTAGATGTCAAATATAAATGTACTAACTATAAATTTCCACCATATTTTCATTCTTCCCGAGCCGAGTCATTGCACCCTAGAGCGAGATACTTATATGATGGGCTTCTGAACCTTCCGTGCATGCTTCTCGTTGCATAATATTCCTAATTCCGGTTTTCTAGCCAAAGTTTATTTTGATTCTAGAATCCGACTTCGGACAACAATACTGTGCACAACAATTGCAAAACAATTTTCAGGAACAAATACTGGGTATTTAATGAGTCCAATGCAGGCGCTATTTACCCTCATTAGGCGTAATTAAGTAGTTTGTCTGTTGCCGTCTAAGTAATTTCCTTTGGCGCGCTTTCCTCCGATCGGATTTTGATGAAGTCAAGTACGTTCTTCTTTCGTGCATCGTGAGCAATCAAGATGAGGTCTGATTTTCTTGGATGATGAGTCGATGTAAATTAAGTCCAACACTATGAAATCTAATGTAGCTTTTTCAACCTCTTTGGTGACGCGCCATCGATAATCGGTTTTTACAATCATAATTGATGTACCGCTCAAATGGGTAATATTTGCATAGAAATAGCGCTATTGAGTGACCATGATTCTCATAAACTTAAGTGGACATGAAACCTTTATCGCTCTGTTTTTGTTCTGAATTAATCTTCCACGTGTTTGACAAGCGTAAAAGTAATACAATAATAAGCAGGTTACATGCGAACGTAAATCCCCGCTAGTTTGGGAAAATGACAGCCTTCACTGAAGCGTTAGATACTAGATTTCAATTCTGCTCCATTTATATATTTTTAATATATTACTCAAATTGAGTAAAAAAAAATATGTGCTGTGGTCAATTACTTTGCCCAACATGTTGTAGATATTAAATAATCTATCAATCTTACATTATATAATCAGAAGGATTAGATACTGCAGTATCCTGTAAGTAAATACATGTATAGTAACTTTACTATATTTCATGTTCTCTATCATATACCCGAATATAACTTTACTATTTGATTTTCACGTTTTCTTAATTTTTTAAAAATATTTTTTTTTAAATTTTTATTTGTTATTTATTTTTTATTTGACTAGAATACCTCCTGATTTTTAAAATACATGTATAACATCTAAATACCCTCTCATTAGAATATGAAAAGTATATTTTAGATATACTTACAAGAAACTAAGATGAGAATGTCGGAAATGGCCAGACTACAGAGATAATAGTCCGTAGTGGTCTGCATGTGGCGATTCCGTACAATGACAATTGCCGTGCACACATTTCCCACAATACCGGTCACAAAGATGAAACTATAGATGACCAACAGGCAGACCACAGACAACATGTCCTTCCTTTTAGGTCCCATCGTTATAAGGAGGTACTCCTCGTCAGTCAAGTTTCGGGAGGACATGGTTCCCCTATCCCCTGGGATGATATCCGTCACTGCCCAGTGTATAAGGGACCAGTTTCCCTTGTCACTGATATTCATCTTAACGACCGATCGCTTCTGAACAGAAAGTCGATCAGGTGTCAATCAATAAGTCGTTAATGTTGTTTTTATCGGTGGTGGTGCGTTTTCTGGTGAATTGCTGATATCTTTTCGATCTGTTTTTACGTGCAGTAGTTTTGTTTCGATGTTGCAGCGAATTTCGCACTTCCGCTCATGTCCAGTGTGTCTCTAATGTACCTTCACCTGTTAAAGAGTAGCAGTGCATCCAATCAAAATAGATTTGGGGAAAAAACATTGTTTCCTCTGAAAACAAGTACAAGCTACTTTGTTGTTGTAACAGAGCACATTACATATGTACAATTCTTTGAAACCTTCTTCTAGATGAGATGAAAGCTCTCACATAAAATTGATTAATGTCTTACATATGTAATCCCTACAAATGTACTTGTCGCCGATATTAAGAAGTTTAAAAGGATTCGAAAATTAGTTTTTAATTGAAAAATTATTCATTGTAACTTTTTTGGTAGATAAGAATATCGAGATACATCAATAATTCGTATTTAAGTTGATTTGAGGAAACAAACCTCAAAAGAAAACGTGATTTTAAAATTATTTTGTAAGATGAATCATTGAGGTAAATCTTATGAAAATGAATATTTTTCTTCATATGTCTGGGGATGAAAACAGGTAAACTTTTAGACCAGTTTTTGTATTGAAAAGCTCTGAAAATAAGTCGTAAAATACCTTCAAATGCACGGGATATTTCTTCAACCAGCAAAAGAGAGAAAGTAAAAACAAGTCCACAAAAATCGGTTCTTACAAGAACAGTTTACAAAGTATGGACTTACAAGAACAGTTTACAAAGTACGGTCTTAAGAACAGTTTACAAAGTATGGTCTTAAAAGAAATAGTCTTGCAAGAACGCTCTACAAAGTAATAGTCTTACAAGAACGCTTTACAAAGTAATAATCTTAGCATCTTGCGATCTTCTCATCTCAAACTACAACACTTTTAAAAGAACCATGGAGTGACAGAGGAGTTTTTTGGTACACACATCCTGAACTATTTCCCAGCTTATCATCACTGACAGGCTTAAGTGAGTAAAAACACAGTGCATATATATGCAACAATTATTGCACTTGTTTCGATATTTTTGCACATGTTTCGCCGTGTAAACAGGGAAGGTTGTAAATTGATACATGATTTTTCTATTTGGTTCACAGCATCCTTTAGACATAACGTTAAACTCTCTAATCTGATAAGAAATGCTTCATTTCGTTTTCTGTTTTTTCTAATTCCATTCAACCATGTAAGTAATTTCTAATATGTGGGTCATTAGAGCAATAAAATATGAAATATGTAGCGTTTCGGAGCTACGTTCCGGTGCTAGATAAAGTAGTGTTAGAGTTTGAAGTTACACATATTGACATTTTTAGTGTATCTTTCTTTAATTAAGACATACATGTATATACATGTAGATGCCAAACAGAGTGTGATTGTAAGCAATATCAAGATTTTTGTTTCCGTAAGGATTGTAATTTTATTAGAAAATCATTATCACGAATTGAAATGGAAAAAAAATCCTTGTGTAGTACACCTAACATCTATCGATCATTTGCAAATGACAAGGTTAATTGAATGAATGCGGACACTGGTCGTTAGACCATTTGTGAACACAATGTTTAGGAAATTTAAGATATAGTAAGAAATAATATTTATTTTCCATTATAAAGGGATTCATATTTCTATTTCAGAAGTGACCGTTCCATTTGTTCCCAGACACCTCAGGCGTTTCTGAAGGTGGAATAGACAGAGTTTCTCAGTAATTTGTCATTTGTCAGTAGTGTATCAAAGAAAAGCAGTTGAAAATAATTAAATTAAAAATAAGCCATTTACCGGAGGTATATTTAGATCCTCCCTTTCTCTGTCCAGCATCATATTGTATCTACTTGTAGTTTATTAATATTATAAAGTAGGAGTGTCGCTTTTTTGCAATGTTAAAATTTTTATAACCTCAACGTTAACCATCTTTTAACCATGATACCGACTTAAAATTTCTGAGTATGTTAAATGTTTATATCGGAACACGCATAACGTTTCATGTGATCGTGAATTTACATCTATAAATGAAGGTTTCTTAATATGCAATTTAATCTGCTACATGTAATTCCTTTTTTAAAAAGTGGCATATACATTTTTACTTATGTTGATCCTCAATTTTCAAAATTCTCAGTTTCAAAGCTTTCAGTAAGTGGTCTCAATTTTTCTCTTTAATGGTGGCACATTTTCTTTTCATTTGAGACTGAAACACATCAAAATTAGAAGAAGAAAAATTATTGATCAGAGCAAATGACATAACCTTACTCTAACACAATGAAACTGCGAAATAATTGTATATAATTGCAGCAAGGTTAAAAAAACAAAACAAAACGTAAAACCAAAAAGAAGGTTTTTATTGCTGTCTTTTGTAAGAAAGTAGTCGGAATAAGTCGATATGAAGAAGTACATCTACTTAATCTGAAAGTCGCCACAATGTCCGAAATATGCTCTTATGAGTCTAACATTGGCTGTAACAGTCGGTGCTTTTTTTCTGAAGAATATCGAAGACATTTTTTTTTTAATTTCGATAAATCCACAGGAAATCTTGAATATTATGTACCACATAATTAAAAAAAAATCATATCTCACGACATGATATTTTTTAATCGCGTTTCAGTTTATCTTATGGACTTCGATATATTGAAACTAATGAATTAAGGTTTTAAATAATATAGCTGCTGTCTTTGGGCAAAACTGGTTCAAGTATTCAGCATTTCTCCACCTTACTTCTAATTCCGTCTCACACTTCCTTTATATGAATAATTACAATTGATTTAGGGATGTGAAATTCCTCCTACCTTTTATATACGTTTCCTTTGATAATCCTGCAGATATTGTAACACGGTTACCTTACTACTGTGACAGGCGGACAGTAGGAGTGATTGTTTAATGACTTCGGACACTCACTTTAAACTGCCTTCATTACCGAGTCGTGGTGATACCAAATCATATCTCACTTGTTCATCTCATTCTATTTCATGGATAATTAACCAAAATAATTAACCAAATCAGATGCTGTTGTCTCGCGGGCACCTGCTTCTATCAGATGTGAGAGAAACATAGCTTGGTCAGTACAGGGCTGACCCCTGATGTATCCTCTATAATGGATTCAGACATAAACCTTGCGTGTTTGATGAACTTTTTTATCGTAGTCATCTGAAACGATCGTTTCTCTAACGGCACATTCGTGACCTTAACATGCGTCCGTTGTCCAACTCCTTTTGAGCATTGCTTGTTTTCAACAGAAGGAGATTAACTCTTTAGACAAGTCGAGGACCTGATATATAGACCAGACTCTGGATTTTTCACAGAGAGGTGCTAGTTATTTGATTTACATGGTTCTACAGCAATTCTGAGCATCCTGAAGGACCCATTTATTCCAAATGGAATTCATTTATTGCTAGGTTTATCATGTCGAACTTCAATATCTCCTCGACAAATACTGCGGTTTAAGGAAGTCGATTGGTTTCTGGAGTTTAATCACTTTTTTATTTGAATGATATACACTGGTGTGTCAGATATTTGGCTGTTTGCTCAATAAATGGAACTCGATCAATCAAGTTTTACATGTATACATCAATCCAGTTAGTAATAAACATGTACATGTAGGGAAATACTTATATAGAATTAAGATCTTTCGCTTAATTGAATTAAATTTTTAGAAACAACAGTTTTAGAATATATATATATATATATATATATATATATATATATATATATATATATATATATATTATATATATTATATATATTATATATATATATATATATATATATATATATATATATATATATATATATATATATATATATATATATATCTGTCTGTAGACTGCAAACATACAAATCATCATTTGTACCAACTGTAGTAAACGAGTGGAATTCTTTATCGCTAGACACCAGACTCTCGAGCTCCTTATCTGCTTTTAAAAGTAAAATCACACAAAAAAATAACAATAGCCCCGCCTTATTTCAGTTTTGGAAAAAGACGCTACAATATACTGCACACTAGACTTCAACACAATTGTGTGCTAAACATTGATCTTTATAGGTGTAACATAATATCTAGTCCATTATGCTCTTGCGGAAAGGTAGAAGACACACATCATATTTTTCTCATGTCCTAATTACACTGAGGCCAGGAAAGATTTCTTCGATAAGTTTTTGAGATTTAATAAAGTTCATATTGTTGACACTCATACTTTACTCTGGGGGGATACTTCACTCAGTATTGCTGAAAATGAATATCTCTTCTCTATTGTTCAATCTCATATTCAGCATTGTTACAACGCGAAATGTAATAACAACGCAAAATGTAATAAACTGGGATTATTACATTTTGCGTTGTTACATTTTGCGTCGAGATCAACGCAAAATGCAATAACGCAAAATGTAATAACACGATTTTTGGATTATTACATTTTGCGTTACTACATTTTGCGTTGGGACAAACGCAAAATGTAATAATGCACTTTTTGGTTGTTACATTTTGCGTTACTTATTTTTTGCGTTGAGGACAACGCAAAATGTAATAAAACAAAATGTAATAAAACAAACATAATTATTTTTTTTTGTACTGTTTTCAACGCGAAACATCACAAAATTGATTTAAACATATAACAATGGGGAAACTCAATTTTCTTAACAGACAGACCTATGACTATTGGACAAATGTTACTGCTTTAATGGAAATTACTTAATCTAATTGTGTATTTTTAAACTCTGTTTCTAACATTTTTATTGAATACTTATAAAACATTAACTTAACTTTGATTGACATGTCTGTTTATAAACCAGTCTGTATTATATATATACATCACTGACATTCTTGATTACCAAAGATTGACCATGGGTCCATTAAAAGCTCTTGATATGCATGTACGACGTGCATGTGTACATTGGTTAGCAAATTAGAAGTGCATGTGTGGGTGTGTCTGGTGAGGAGAATCGGGAAGTAGGGGTTACTTCGTATGTTGATCATTGTATATTTATGCGCATGTGCAAAAACAATCCATTTTATTATTGTAGAGAGAGAGAATTTTATTTTTGCTGGTCTGCAATGCACATGATTTGTAAAACAGTGTGATATGTTAATTGTCAAGAAACCCCCTTTCCACTATATTTACACTTGCCAGTAAAAATAA